AGATCTGAAAGGAGACTGGAACCATGTACATGCCATCGGCGAGCAAGTTTGCGAAGCTGTGTGGTGAAACGTTGATGCAATAAGTCGACATCACCGAAAAACTGATCCTTCATTGAGGCGGCCATGATTTCAACGTCAATGTCCGCATTGATGCGAGAAAACTCATCCACCATTACAGCGTGACCATGTGCACGGTGTAGATGGTGATCATCGATGTCCAGACAGCGACACGGAAAGGATGTTTCAGGAGTCCATTTGCGCTGCCATGTGCGGTAGTTGTACATCTTGTCGCCCAATGTGGCGCTGCGAGTTTCCACAACCCTGATCTTCGGAATGAAAAGAGAAGGGAACAAATCCCGATGAGAAGCAATCCAGCTTTGTAACCATGTGCCAAGTAGAGCTTTCCAATTCCGGACATGTAGCGGCGGTAAGAGTAGCTGTGTCAAAGTGGTGGGTGGTTGTAGCCGTCGTTTGCGCAGCACCTGGGCGAGGAGTTTCTGCGCCTTGGAGCGGAAGGGCTCGTTGACAAAGACTGCGAGCCGCAATAAGTAATACAGCTGAGTGGGAGGGAAAGCCGCCGACAGTAGGTCACGCATGACTTGGAACGACGCTCCTGTATTCGATCCCAGCTGATAGAGAATCGAGTAATGGGCTTGGACGTCATCCTGGATGTCAGGTCGTAGTTGCCGTTGGAGATCCGGATGTAGTCGTCGTCGAAAGCGCTTGTGCAAGCCGAGGGAAGTGGGAGACGACAGCGAGTGGCGTCGAAAATCCACAAGATGTTCCCGGAAGCCCACCTTGCGCAAGATTCTGTGTACCCAGGGCGCATTCAAATGCGGGCGTAGCAGGTATTGCCATTTGCTTTCTTGAACCCACACCGAGGAAACTGGAAGTTTGATTTCCACTGGTATAGCACAGAAGAGCCAGTAAGTATTGGATCTTTTCCAGTAGTGAAGCGCTGGTTCAAAGAAGGCATGCCGTCCACGAAGTAGTTGTAGAAATTTGCGACTGCGTGAGTGTTCACGACGTAGAACATCCTGATCAGTCGCCCCAACATAGTATGGTGTGTGCCATGGGGAAAGTCGAATGTAGACGCACGGTTGTTGGTGATGACCTGGATCATGTATGAAGTCATAGAGGTCAGGAAGTCGCGCCCGCAATGAGCGTAGATGCCGCGTGTCAGCGAAAGTAGAGTGCATGATTTCACACAAGAGAGAAGTCTTGTAGAAGTGCAGGACTTCAAAGAACGGTGGGAAGTAGCCGTGATCTTGTGAAATGAGACGTTGTAAGAAACTAATCAATAAATAGGCAGTGCACCGACATCTGTGAAGCTCGTACCTGTTGGCCACGGTGTGCTGAGAGTTTGACATAGCGTGATTCGGAATCTGAAGGGCTATCCGGACCACAACTAAGACCGAGGATGAGACCCAGCCACGGCAATTGTGTGATGGATTCGTACTCCTCAGTTGGAATCGACGGTGGTGGTAGTCCAGGAAAACAGTACTGCCAGCACGTAGAGAATATGGTCAACGAGTGCAGAAGGTCGTCCAGCGACTGCCATTGTGCAACATCATCATAGATTCCGCAGCGGCGAAGTTCATCCAACATGGTGAGATGCAACCAACGAAATCTACCACAAGGCGGCGACATGAATACAAGCATCACAGACAATCACACAAGAGACAATGCAAGAACGAGCAAGTACAAGATCAATCTGGTGCAACGCAGACACTTGACGGACGAGTTTTCACCTGGACTCATCCGTGACATTGTTGCCGCTCCGGGCTCATATGAGAACGAAGGTCATCATGATGCCTTCTCATCCACACAGTAGACGAGCCGTCACGATGAGGTGACTCAATGCCTTCTCAGTGAGTTTGGTAAGATAGCCGGGTTCTAGTCCCCACGAAGCTGCCATTGCCCCGAGCGTGGGCGCGTCGCCTTTCGGCATGCGTTGCCGCGCCTGAAGGAGCTGCGTCGCCATAGAATCTAATGACTTGTTGCCGTTGAGCCGGGTCGGGTGATTGGCCCACTTAACCAGCGATGCCAAAGTGGTTGTTGTGGGTGATTGCTTGAGAAAAAGGCGAGGTTGGTCACTGGTCCATGTGTAGTACTTGACAACTTCATCCGGCGTGCTGTTCATGGTGAGCAATTGTGACGCCGCCGGTTTGGACGGCGGTGACGACACTCCGTGAAGAGACTGGATGATCCGAGGTTGCACCACGCTATCAAACGACTTGCCATCCAGGGCGGCTGCGCTGGCTGTGGGAAGGGAGCTGGCAGGTGACGAGGATGGTGTGTGGTTGACCGGTGGCGGTGTAACCAACTCTGCATCATCCTTCTGGTTTGTCATCGTGGGAGAGGTCGATGCGCGAAGTGATGCGGAATACTGAGCTTGGAGAAGTTCGTGGGCACGATTCAGATCATTGAACTTTTTGACCATGTCCTCGGTCTGGGCGGCAGGTGCGAGAGAGGTGTGATGCTGTTGAAGAAATTGAAGCACCAAGTTGGCCAAATGGTCGTGGACCTTGATGCGCTGATTGAAGTCATCGATGTTGAGACCCAGCGTGTTGGCAAGGTCCTTTTCCAGGGTGAGCAGGTTGAGTGACTGTGATCTTCGTAGTAATTTGGAACAGGTACTCCAAAGTAAGGCCTCGGTGCGGGTGCGAAAGCCTTCCCACGTCACGAATCGGCCGTGCGCAAACGGCCTGAGTAGCCCGTTGGTGAGGCCCCCGTGGATAACCTGAACCAGGCGAACGTCCCTAATATCCATGCCTGACATGTCGCGAAGGTTGCCATGCGGAGTGTTGGCAACAGTCATGGGCAGGCTGAAGTTGTAGAGCTGATTGACATCAAACATGCCGTCTCCAGGTGTCCAGTCAGGCGAGGGAGTAAGCCAGGCTTTCTGAGGACGAACCGGTAGAGCCGCATGAGGTCCGGGTGACGGTGTAGGTTGGGAAGTAGTAACCGGTGGTGGCATCACTGGTGGCATGAACTTGGATGGCGTGGGATCTGGAGGGATCGGCATCATGTAGTTGATCGCTGGGTATTGGAATTGTTGTGTGGGATTGTGAGTCGATTGAAAGTTGGTAGGCATCATCGGAAAGTTGTTGGCAGCGTTGTAGCCGGAGTTGTGTTGCCATGAAACCAAGTTGTTCCAATCCATGTTCTCCGAGACCTGGTTGTCATTGTGCTCACGTCGGCGTGCTTTGTGAGCTTGAGGGGACGGACTCAGATCACGTCTGCGCCGAGTCCTGGATCTATCACGATCATCACGTCGAGACATGGTGACTCAACTGACTCTGAATCTGCACACTTCCACCTTGAGAGAATCGGACCCGACAACATTCAAATCAATGCAAATGCAAGTTAACGGCCCCAGCTGCAATGGTCGATCGACATGTTCAAGGCAAAGCAAATACAAATCAGCAATCGTCAACCGCAATAATACGAGCAACAAGTTCAACCAATGGTCAGCAAATGCAATGAAAGTCGGCAGCCAGCCGCTGTGGTGAGACGTCACTATGGTCTGGTGGCATTCTTCCCTTTAGTGAAACCTCGTTCCTGGTTAAATGTGAAATTCCGCTGTTCTATGATAAGCACGTTGAGGTCAAATTTTCCGACAGAGCCGGCCCGGGGTCACACAATGGGTACACCCGAGGATTCCCCACGAATGGGGTGTACACACTTAAACTCCAGATGGAGAGTGCTAATCTTTCGAGTACAACTGGTGAGTCTCGAGTACAACTGGTGAGTCTCGAGTACGATGAGTATCTGCTTGATTTCCGCGGGCAAAGAGGGGACCTTGTTGGGAAGCAGGTACGTAGCTGAGCGTCCTCAGCTACTTCCCTTCCAGTGACCTAGCTTCGTTGGATCAGGTCAGTCACTGGAAGCCTGATCCCCCTGCTGCAACAGAAAAAGGTTTTGGTGGCAGGGTTTTCTGCCACTCCGCACACACACACACACACACCACACTCTACCCGAGGCCTATTTCAATTGTTTGAAGTCGTGGTCTTCCAAGGCTTCTCATCCACACGAGAGAAAAGGTCGCCGTGGAGCTAAGACACCTGGGTTGAGGGTACCTTTTCAGCCTGATTCAAAGAGAACAGCCCATTTGGGGGGTCCACCCACCTTACAATTTACAATGGCTTCTCCTTGGTTTATCGGCGACTACGGCATCAAAACGAGCCCCATCTTTGCCCGAGGTCTTTCGTTTGTTTTCGAGGAACAAAGGAAAAAGTATCCGTCAATGTATATATCCGGCAAGGTGCGTTTTTTGGGGGGGACGTTCAAAAAGGTGCCCGGCTTTTCTGCTGGTGTCTCCTTCAATCACACCACGGGGTACCCTCCCCATCTCCCAAAACAGAAACACACCGCCATCATTTTCCTGGAACCCGAAGCGAGAAGGATCCAAAAGCCATCAGTTTGGAGGTCAGCGAGCTGACCCAACACGCCAGCCCCAGTTTTGTCGGAGATCAACTCTTCAGTCTCCCTCCCGGCTTGCTGTTCCGCAGAACCTTCCCATTTACCGAATACAAGCACCAGGGACCCGTTCAGATCCACATCCAAAGCGATTCGGCTTCAACCAATGAAGAGAAGCCTAAGAGAAGGTGTCCATTGGCAAATCGCCGGACATGCGCCTTAGTCCTAGCTGGATATGCATCTTGAACAACTCCCTCAATGCTTGGAACACCAATCCCCATGTCTGATGTCCCAACCGTAGGTGCAACCACCATTTCAACAATGGCCTTGGGACCAAACTTGGATGAGGACAATCCTGTACGGTGGTTATACGAACTCACATTGCTTCCATGGTGGATTGAACCCCAGGACCAAATTACTGTCTGAGTTATACTTCCATATGTCAACCTATCTTAAGGGGATCACCCCTTTTTTGGGCTCATTCCGAAGACCCTTGCCCTTCGGCGAAACCCAAACGTAAAGAAACCCATCGCATGCATCTATCGTTTTCTTGGGTTGATCTCGGCCCAGTGCCACGCCTTATCCTGAGGTTGTGCTCCAGTTCCTGGCCGGTCGTGTTGTTCGCTGCTTCACTTGCAACAGCCTTCAGGAGAGAAAGCCATCCTGAACTTGATCCCAGATGGTCCGCTGGCTAAAAAACACACACAAAAAATGACTCCCCTTGGTAAACAAAAAAAAGCACAACACAAAAAAGACCTGTTACTTCATAATCACAGCAGGTCAGCTGCTTGTACCCGGAAGCGAAACAAAAACCCTCGGCGTGCAAAAAAAAGAGGCTCTGGCGAAAAGACCCCAAAAGGTACGGAGACGGATGTGTTTTTGATTCTCACATCCCGAACATCTCCGGCAGCTTCCTGGACCCAAGGCCAACTTGTGTGTTTTTTTTTGGGGGTGTTCATTGGACACCATGGGCCTGCTTGCATCTTAGAGGGGCCTTCATGACACGTAGCCAGACCACTGGCCAAAGCTGGGGATCGAGATCTCTCGTCCTCAGTGCCGTAGTGGGACAAGGAAAGAATCCACTGCTGGGATTGATTCCCAGTTATCTTCACGCATCGTTCGCTTTAGAAGCCACCCAGCTTCCTGTTTTGAAGAGAAGGATCCCTGAAAAGAATTGGGAAGGTACGGCTGGAACTACCATCTCACGCAAGGATTGAGGATTCATATTGACAAGTCAGCCCCAATGGGGCTGGAAGAATAGAAAAAAAGGGGCTCTTTTCTTTGGCATTGGCTTTTAAATCGGCACAGGCCCAGCTTATAACGCAGCATATGAACACGGGGAAACTCCCTGGAGGCTCTGTCGTTAAAGCTCTCGCCTGAAGCTGCCTCTCCAAGCTTTGCAAGGAGGGTAGCACCTGCAAGGCGACATCTCGGGAACACCTCCCATTGCCTCACTGGAGTTGGGTTAGAGAGATCAAGTCGCAGCTTTGGTTTTCCACCAAGACTCTTGTTCCAGAAAAGCGACTCAAGTCCGAAACGGAACTCGGTGTCTGCAGGTGAACCTATGGGCAACGTCGTTAAAACTAAAAGAAGAGCTTCAGGTGAAGCTTGCAGGATCCAAATCGGCGCGGTGTCTGAGTAAGAAACTGGGACGTGATATCCCCATATCCCCATTGCACGGGCAAATGCAAGCTGAACCAGGCCATAATCCGATCCCGGGCTAACACCCGGGCTAACAAATAGCTTTGGCTGGTTGGCAAAGCTACGTCTGACAATGTGAAACGGCCATGCCAGGATCCTCAGGTTGGCTGTTGGGGAGCTCAGCATAAACTCAAAGTCCCACCCGGTCGACCAGTTTTAGCGGAGAACGCACCATACAAAAAGGGACAAGTCGTCATTCTGCGCAGCTCAGTCTGCCACTCCCGCCTTCTTTGGCAGATTCACTTCCTGTGGACCGCCCAACCTTGGCGCATCTTGGCGCTGCGCCAAACAAAGCGCCATGGTCAAAGCTCCCAAAGTGCAGTTCGTGGTCAGCTTCTGCAGAAGGGGGATGCTTTTTCGCTCGACTGGTTTGGAAGCCCCGTTTGCAAGAAAGCCCTTTTTCATGGTCTTCATCGGGACCCTGGCCGCGTAGTCATGCTTATGGTTAACGCTTACCACCACCATGGTAAGCTCCCGTGCATGGGCAACCAGGGTACATACTGATAAGCCCCCCAAAAAACTGAAAGGGTCAGCACAATTTGAACACTGTGCCAGACATCGGCACCTGGAGCGCGAGAATCCACTGAATTACTTTCTTTCTTTCTTTTTGGGGGGGGTTTGGGGGGGCAGGGCCGACCCCGACCCCCTTCCCTGTCGCGGAAGAAAAACTCCGGGGTCCGGGCTCACCGCAAAAGAGGAACTGGCCCAGCGGGGGCGATTTCCTGAGAATGCCCCAAATTCGCACCGCCAGCCACTAGGGGCTGATTCCTTGTCCATGGTTTTCAGCCATCCTTCTTTTCTAGAAACCGATCGATCGCCATGTCCCCAGTTTTTTTTGTTTTCTGGAAAGATCCGGATCCCTGGAAAGAATGGACATGGAAGTTACCCCTGCCATGGCATTCTTGTCCCAGGGTCCCATTCTTTCCGCTTCGAGCGGTTGTGCTCAAGCATGGGACTGCTTTTGGAGGACCCGAAGGGCTTCTCGAAGTGGAGGGCGCGTGACCCGGCCTGGCCGGCAAACCAGGCCTGCAATCCATTTTCCCTCCTGAAACCAACAACACACCCTGCCGTTACCGAAAAACCCCTCGAAGAACCCCGAAGCCATGAGGCAAGGGCGCTCCAGGCGACTCGCAAGCCCTTCCAGCGTTCCAGCCGAGAGTCATGACATGGCGAAGCGTAGCTCGCACCTGCGTCGAATAGCAAGCCTTTTCCCCCCGCCCCCGTACGGGTGTGTCTGCCTTTCCTTTGAGGCTACCCTTTTCTGGTTGGATTGGAAGGGAAATCATAGGGAACACTATTTCAACACATGCGCGTGGCTCCTAAAGCCCCAATTTTTTGCGCCACGCCCTTCAGGAAAAAAGACAAGCACAACTGCAATCTCATCGCCCCAGCGGAGGTCTCTCCTCCATCCTGCCTTGTATTGGTCACATGGCGAGCGCCCGTTTTCGTATCATCTTACAATGCACGACATGTGTGTGTGTGTGTGTTGCTTTCTTTTGCGGGTGCTTTGGTGGTCAACTATATCTGGATTTGCGCCAACCACTTCTCAGGGGTGTTCCAAGTTAAGAACAAAAACATGGACACATCTGAAAAGGAAAGCGAGCTCTCGTGGGCCCCTTTATGCTTGCCAGCTTGAGCACAGCGTCGCATGGGCAATAACTGCGCGCTTTTCCCCGGCCGGGGTTGCCGCGCCCCAACCGTACATGCCCTTTGAATCAGGTCGCCAACTCAATCGTTCCAACGGTAACTGGGCCATACAAGGGGCATACACGAGCATGATGTCCGAGCATGTTGCTCTATTTAATGCACGACACAACCAGGGAAAATCGCGCAGCCATTTCCAATTGAAATTGTAATCCGCTTTGCTTCTGCTCAGTGCCAAGGCAAAAGGCCCGTTGTCACTAACAATCTTGAGGACCATCTGAGATGACCACGCCTGCCCAAAGGACAGGCAAAGAAACACATTTTTTTAGAACGACCTTAAAGGGATACCAAAAGCGGACAATCAGACTTGGAGTGGTCGATTCGCTTTGGGGCGAATCGCCCGAACACCCCAAACAAATTTCTTTAACCTTTGCACCGGCCCAGCTACAAGCCACTTTGTGTCTTCTTTCGTGAGACGTTCGACGTCGCATGGTCACGGCAGGTCAATGTTTAGACCACCGTGCTTTTCGAGACAGGCTTCCCTAAATTGAATTGCCAAACAAATCACATAAAGAAACTCACCTTGAACTGCGAACCGACAGGTGACGTTCAAACCGCGGACATATAGGGAAGCCTATAAAGGCAACCTGGAGGTTGCATGTGTCTGGCGTTCTAAATGCAAACTCCTTCAGCGTCTCTGGCCCAGGCAGCAGACGCTGGAAACTGCATGAACTTTCATCTTGCCGTCACCGACCCCGATCCGATCACCGAGGATCCTTAGCTTGACACTCGGCACCAACCATTCGCTCCATGCAGCCTGCCTCAACTACTGAAGTCGTGTCACGGTTTGCTTTCTTGCCTCTCTTGTCGTTGTGCCTAGTACTTGCAGTTGTCGTTGATAGTCTTTTTGGTTGTGTGTATGCTGTTGCTGCTTATGCTGGTGTTGGTGGTGCTAGTGATTGTGCTTGTCATCTGCATTGGTTCTCGAAGGTGTGCCTGCTGCCGCTGTGGGGGGTTCGTTGTCCTTCTGGTTGTTGCAGTCTTGAATATTGTAATTGCCGCTGTTGTCGTTTTGCTGGGATGGCTCCAAATGAACAAGCCAGGGATACGCAGGTTTTAGTCTACTTTTCCATTTACCAGGGCTCCATTTTGGACCCCATTTGGCTGTGGCTTAAAAAACCGGTACCAACATGGAACCCTGGTAAGTGGAAACATGGATCAACACCTGCGTAAACCCTCCTGTTCAAGCCACACCCAATTTTGCAGCCACCCTTGCGTCTGCTGCTGCTGCCGCTGTCGGGTTGCCCTCGTTCCGTCGCTCGGTCGTTTGCCGCCGCCATCATCGCTTGTCGGGCGGTTGGTGAGACCACTTCGCCACTGCTCCCTTTCCCAGTCGTAACTATAGGTAGCCACCTAGAGACTCAATCTGAAAACCTCGTGTTTCCAGAAAGAAAAACAAAACGTGTGTTGTTTTTTGGGGTATGACATTTTTAGAGCTTTTGGGGTAAAAACACTGATTCCATGTGGTCGCGAAATCACCACAAGTCCATTTCAACCAAAGGCGGAATCCATTTATCTCGCCGGGGCGCCGATGGTCAGCAACCGGCTTCTGGACAACTCCTGCACCTGGCGGCTGCAGGAACCCTCCGGATATGGGGTTGAGATGGACTTTGGAGCCAAAGATTGCGGCTCTCCGTGGCGTTTCTCTTTATTCTTCTTCTACAAACCGAAAAGGTGACCATGTCATGTTGGGGAATCCAGCTCCGTGTGGGAAACCCTGAAAACAGGTGGCCATGTCATTTTTTCTGGAATCCAGCCCTGCACTGGAGTAACTCTGTACACCCCGAAATTGCAGGGTCATGGGCATGACATGTTTTTAGGTTTGAAAGCGGACTGAATGCGGTGGGTGTTCATGTCCACCAATCACTTGTGAGGTTCCAACTTTCAAATATGTTGCCACGAGACCTGCATTTAGCCATGGGATCTGTTCCTTTTTCAAACAAAAATCAAAACAAAAAACAACAACATCCCCTGCTGGTTTCCGTTCTGGGTAAAGTGAAAATAACGGTGACTGCGGCTGATCACACTGAGGTTCATAGCCCTTTTCAAGATGATCGTCTTCCAAAACCTTCCTGTCAGCTTCCATTGGGAAGAGCGGCAATCTGCCTTCACTGGCAGGCCCTGCCTGCCAGTGGTGGTGTAGGTTGTCTAATCCTCGGCGAGTCTGCAAATGGGTACGCGCAAAAAAAAAAGCGACCCGCAACATAGGTTGCTTCTCTTTGGCTTTACAGTTAAACCACCCAAAGGGGGTACCCTCAATGAAACACGTGCTCGACTTTTTTTGCGCACAAATCTACACAAAGCAAAGCCACCGGGATGCCGGGATGCGCTTGGTTTCTCAGTGAAGCGCCAAACGCTCTTGGAACCACCTTGTGAAACCAAAACGCCCGAAAGGTAGCACACGGGGCGCATACGAATCCCTCACTGCAAGGGGCGTGCAAACACCGGGACAAGTTCTCCGGAGCATGTAGGAACTGCGTCAAACCGGCATTGCATTGTTCGAACTCTACTCAAGACATACCCTTTAGGACAATACATCCATTAAATGAGATCTAAAAGTCCTCCTATGAGATCGCCATGAAGGATCGAGATTTAGCTTCTTTGCATGGCCCTTTTTGATCGTGCCGCCTTCTACAGATCATCCCCAATCATTTGGAGGCGCCTTCTGCAAACATTCGAAATGTCAAGTTGGTAGCTTTTACAGGTTGCAACTCAAATAAAGAATCAAGAGCACTGCAAAGGCCTGCAAAGGGGGGTTGGTGCCCTTTGAGTTGGGGAACCGTGGGTTAGACAAGCCGAAATGATGTCCTGACTAAAGATGTGGGGGGTGAGAAGTGTCTGCCTCCTTAGGTGTGCAGGGACCCTCTGAGTATAGGTTTTGTGTTTGACTCAACTGCGATTGCCAGATCCCTTCCCTTTTCCCTGTTCGAGTCTGCTTTTGGAATGATTCGAAAACGATGCCATCCTCAGGTATGAAGGGACCCTCTGGGATATGGTAACATGATTTACCCAAATCCAAGTCAAGAACTAAAGGGGGGCACCTGCTATTCTTCGTTGTGACGATAGTTCGCCATAGAAGACTGAAATTCGTGCATTTGCTCACTAAGGACAGGAACAATCCCAGTTGGGTGACCCAATATGTGAAAATAGGAGTGCAGAAGGACAAACAAGTGGCACGGACGCCCCAAATGTCCCTTGAACCCAGCCCCAAACCGGCGCCCCTTGGGGCGTCCGCGTGCCCGAGGCCGATCTGGCCACCGCTGGATCCGCTCCAGCACCGACTCGCCCTTGAGGCCGGGCCGCCTTCGCCAAAGGCCGGCAGTCCATTTGCCAAGCGGAAGGTAAATTGCTCCTCCTGAACACGGAGGGCTTTTTGTTGGGGCTAGGTCCTCCAGTAGAGAAGTTAGAATTTGTTGGTACCCATTTTTTCTTTTTTTCTGTAGTCTATTTTAGTAGGGGAACCCAAAAAAGGTAAAAGGGCCGTACTGGGGCACCTAGACAAAAATCCTTCCGTTGATCTGTGCATCACCCGTTTCGTGTTCGTTCGTCGGCTGAGTGACATCTTCATGATGGTCCGTTGCTCAAAGGTCAGCGAGAGCCTTGGTAAAAATTGTACTGAGTGTGATGTTCAGATGTCGCCAACACGTCAACAGCTGCAGTCTGGTTGACATACGCCCCGCTCCCTTCGCGAAGGGGGTAAAGTTTGGGGGACCGACGAGTATGTGGGGGGATCTCCGTCAATTGGTTGTGCGCCTGCGGTTCCCCTCCATTGCTGTGGCACTTGAAACGTATTGACACAGCCGAAACAGCTTGGGACCCGGTGGGAAGCCATGGAAAATCACCGAGGCATTTGTCTTGCGTGGGGAAATTGCGGGGGGGGGGGGGGTGAAAGAGAGGTCTCCGACCGTTGCACCAGGTTCTCCTCTCCTTTTCCTTCCGCCCGCCTGGGGTTGCTCTCGATGTAGCCCTTGTACTGGCAGGTGAGGATACGAACCAAAAACATCAAGCAATGCTGCCATTGAACTCTGTCTGCATAGGGTTCCTAAAACACAGGTTCGCTGGAGTCCCCCAAATCAGAAGTTGCAATTTGTGAGTGGTGTCCCATAAAACTGCCACTTTTGCACTTTTGGAGGTTTTTATAGCTAAGCATTGGTTTCCCTTAGCTTTCCATTTTGAGTGTCAAGATGGCCAAGAGCTGCCCGCTTTTCGCCACCCAAGTCCTCCATGTCATCCACTTTGCTGGGCAAAAAGCCTCAGGTTCTTGACATTGATTGCCACGATTTGCTCTGCACCAGGAGGTTTTGGGGGGACAGGCTCCCGGCATTTTCAACCTAAACACATCATTCAAGGACGCTCACAAAACACATGAATGTGTTGCCAAGGGGTGATGTGGGTTTGTGTTCTGTGAATGGTACCCTTTTCAGTTTGGTTTTAAGTGAAGCCAATAGACTTGTGCTCTTGGTTTTGTCGTTTTTTTTTTTTTTTGGGGGGGGGGGTAGGTTTTTTGAGCCCTACCCCATCTGTTTCACCACCCTTTGGCCTTGATATCGGGGAGACTCGTGCAGTGGAGCCGAGGAGCGCATGGAAGGAGCATGTGGCCACTTGACCACCGGCTCCAGCGTGGGGTTGCTCTGAAAGATCAGCTCCTGGCGGCCCCCCTCAACCCACCCCCCCAGCCCCCCACCGCCCCAACCCCCCTCAACCCACCCCCCAGCCCCCCACCACCCCAACCCCAACCCCCCAACCCACCCCCCCAGCCCCCCCCCCACCTCCAAGCTTCCTTCTAATTGGCGGTTTGGAGCCCGGTCTGGACCTTAGGGAGGCCTTCCTTCCCCATGATTCAAAAGGCGCTGGGGATCAGCTCCCGACCGCCAACCATTGGCGGCTTGGAGCCCGGTGGTTGTTGGTGAAATGGGATGGCGGCCTGATGATGCCCAAAGCGCACGGTTAAATAGATCCAACATATGTTCAATTTAAACACCGCCCAAAGAAACCCGCTTGAGCATCGCTCCAAATTCATTGACTCTTGGCTCCACTATCATGTTATGGATTGTATTGGCTTTGCTACAACCCGGATGAAGCCAGGAAGGAACCAAACCTGCTAAAAATGGCCCCTGAGAATCGGATTCGTCCAAAACAGTCGTTGGACAGTGTTCATAAATGCATTGAGCCCATTGCGAATCACAAAGATCTCAAGTCCAATACCAACCCCCACCCCCTTTCCGGCCTTTTGCTTCAAAGATTTCAAAGTTCATTTTGATTTCTCGAATCAACAAATTCTGACCTGGCGGAAGTCCGACGGTTGCACGGTACCTCCGTCCTGCAGGGAGGGGAGGTCGATGTCCCGCTCCTGACGGCTGGACATGTGGAACGCCTCGGCGGATTTTTCGCGCACAGACGCCGAGGTACCCCGGAAACGGGTCGTAAGCCAAACAAATCACCGGGGAACCAGATCCCGTTTGGCTATATTTGAACCCCTAAGTGGACCCCTTCTCAGCACCAATTCGTCACCAAGGATACCAGTGCCCAAGGGGTCCTATCTTGGATCTTGGACACCTCTCTATGCTCAAAGAAAGCTCTGCAGGGCGCGGAAGCCACAGGATCCCCTTGGCTTTAAGCTCAACCCGGGATTTTCACGAGCCCAAAGACCAGGGAGATCCGCCCCCCCTTGTATTGCCAAACGGCGAATGGTGAATGTCCAGACACGATTGCTGTTGGATTTCCCTCCAGTCCCTGAAAAGATACATCCAAGGACTCGGATCCTAAAAAAATCAGCTGGCGAACGTTGCTTCACTGGCCCAGTCTCCCTTGGGAAGAAAAGACATCGCAGCTCCCGAATCAAATCGCCGAGCCACCGCGATGGCACCCAAGATCCCGCGGGGATTGCCGACATACCTGGGAGCAAACTTGAGGCCAGGAAAAGGCAAAGGAAAGCTAGCGGGCTGAGAGGAAAGGCATAATCGAAAGCGGAAAACCTGGCAAGGGCACATAGAAAAGCATACAAAAGAGAACTCCGACTGTCCGCGGCACAAATTGTTGCAAGCCAACATCAAGTGGAGCCCACATCAGATGCAACAAGGGTGTTGCGCGGGACAGAGCTTCGTGGTGACTCACTTCACAATTGGTTCGCACAGAGTCCATAGTCAAAGGGTTGCGGAACATGAAGCTACATGCAGGCTTGTATGGAGTGTCACGGAGGAGCAAGTTGCAAGTGGCGACGAGTGCAGAGCATGCTCCTTCGCAACTGTCTCCACAAATTGCAAGACGAACCAAATCGAACCAATGGCACAACAAGATACGGTCATATTCGGCGCCAGGAGCAGAACACTCGCCCCTCTTCAATTCTAAATTGGATCCCTCTTGGTTTCTTAAGGACATCACGGGATGAATGTTGGGAGCATGGTGGTGCATCTTCCGGAAAGGGGAGAAGCGATTGGTGGATGACCATCTGCCACTTGCCTCACCTCTCGCCTTTGATCGTTCAAGATCCCGCGAACCTCGTGCACACGTCGCGCACCTCGCACTGGTGCGGTCGAAGCGGATGCGCCACCACATGGCGTCGAGCAGCAAAGGCCTACCGGGTTCGTTGACAAGTGGTTAGTCACCTGGCCCAACAGGGTCAGGCACACTAATGTTGACCCCATATTCATCAAGCCCAGTTTCTTAATGGGGACGTGTTCCGCTCCAAAAGTGATTCCCCACCAAACCCAGCGGCACCCCCCATAATTACTAAACAGGGGTTGATTACTATGGGGTCAACATGAAGTGGGTTATAACGAGAAGAACTCAAGAGCATTGCCAACTCAACGTCTGCAAGCAGAAGGCCCTCGTGAGGCCACAAGAAAACTTAACCTTGAGAGCCTAAGGCTTGGCATAATTAAGCCAATTCCCAGCAACCTCGGTGTGGACCTCTACATGTTTTCAAGAAAACCAATGCCCAAGAGCAATTTTGAGAACCCCGGAGAGCTCACTTGGGAGGCAGATGAGAGGAAACCATTACCAATGATCTATCCTGGGATTCCATCTATCCTCGGTTGCTTTCTGCTCCCCTGCTAAAAGTCTAACTTTTAGTGGTTTGCTGGAAAATCCATTAGTTGGCAAAAAGTTAAAGTCCTAACATCCAAGCAACATGCAACAAAGTATCTGCTCATTCCCTTTGGTTTCCCTTCAGTTTCCCGTAACACATCTTTCCCTTGACCGTGACAGGAAAGCAACGGAATCGCCGGAAAGCCGCCCACTCGCCGGGTTTCGCTGGCTGCCCACGTCCGCTCGCCTGTACGGCATCTCGTCCATGGGGTCGATCTTCTCCTCGAAGAAGGACGACAGCTTCTCCAGGTCCTTGTGAAGCCGCAGGCACCGGGGAAAACCCGAGCAACTCATGGAACAAGGACCAGCAAAGAAGCGCGAACCTGGAGACAAAACGGTTACCTTCAAAGGGAAAACCAACTAGAATGACCCTTTCAAAAAAATATATAAAAACAATAACGCCAAGTGGCGCGGGTGACGGCACACCTTTTAGCTCGTTTTGAAGGAAAACTAAGGAGACACCAAAGCATTTTTGCGTGGGATGCCGGCAAAGGGAGCCAAGCCCATGACAGCAGGTTGTCCTGAAAGGGTGAGCTCAAGCTCACGTGATGCATTTCTTTCTGATTGGGAACCCAGGACTAACCTCCGGTTGATGGTTCTTGCGATTTCTTTTAGCCAGCTCCAATCGAATTTTCAATGTCAACACAAGTGATTCTCCAAAAAGCAGTCGCTGAGAGCCTGATTGCCTAAGGGTAACTGGATCCACGGGGTAAACTGACGATGAAGGTTTGTCACAATTGAACCTCCCAGGACTTGTTTGACAGCCAGTTTTGCCTGGAACACCCAGAAAAATGGCGCCCAATATAGTAGGACATGTATTAAGGGCTTTTGGGTTGCAAGTCCGGGCGAAAAGCAGGGTGTTCCAGCTGGAACCATACTGGCTCGTTTGGTCATGCATGTAACATGTATGTGTCCAGATGTTTTCAGGGCGAGTTTGGGTTGAATCCTCGGGCTCAACAACACAGCTTTTAAAATCCAAAAGGAACGTCAAAAACAATATCTCCTTTTCACACCAGTCACCCTTTCAAGTGTGACTGGGGTGTTCTCAAAGTCAAACCCACAAATACTCAATTTTGGTGTCGTTCCCGCAAAATGGCGGTTTTCCTTCTGGCTTTCCTTTAAAGCCACAAACAGCTGCTACCAACTCCAAAAAAAGACGAGCCACCCAAGTTGGTTGAGTTTCCCACGCTTCCGGGGCCGCAGCGCGCTCTGGCTTGAACCAGAAGACGCATCCCTCCTTCTCTTTGCTCAGCACCTCAGCGGCCGCAAGCTGAGTGATACCCCAATTTCCCCCCAAAAAACAGCTTCCCCATTTTTCCAGGGATCCGGATCTTTCTGGAAAACCACCCAAAACCCTGGGAAAACAGCGATCGGTTTTCGAAAAGAACGATGGTTGAAAAGAATGCCCCTAAACAAGTCGATTCTTCAGGAGCTTCCGAAATGCCGGGCCTTTTGGGGTGTTTGTCTGACTTCCGATTCCAGGAAGCTCCCCTAAAAGAGACGTTTCCTAGCACCGGTGGCATACTGGGCATGATGGCTGTTCAACCTCAAAAGCGGAATCGGTGGACATAATCCCAACCTAAACGATGTCCAAAGGGCTCTTGTAAAAGAATGCCCAAACAACTTAGAACAAAACCCGTGAAACCATGGCCCCTTTCTAGGTCTTTCATTGAAGCGGAACATCCAGCAACAAAATGGGGGGAAGCCATATCGCATTGGATAGGCAATCCGTTTTCAAGACCGGGGATGTTGAATTCAAGGGGCGAGGAATCCCTCCACAAAAAGGTCGAGAACGCTTTCTTCCCGTTCCACTACGTAGGAAGAGTCGCCGAGATCACAAGCTGAGAATTGCTTGACCAATAGACCCCAAAATGGTTGCCAATGACTACCCTATTACTTTAAAGGGTGGTCGGCTCGTTGGCATCGCAGAAGTAGCAATCCCAAACCCAGTTTTCCATATCCAAAGCCGTAGGTGCCCTTTTGGACCAGGCTGCCCAAAAAAACATGATAGGAGGTGTCGAGCCATGCAAGGCCCTCCCCAATGAAGACATGTGGACTCGGCAGTTCTGAGGGGCCCCGCCCACTGCAGAAACTCATCGGAAAACTCCGACTTGTACAGCCTGGCTCGGGCACAAAAAACTGCGCGATCGTGGAAGAACTGGAAAACTGCCCTCCGGAAGATACCAAGCAACAAGACACGGGATGGGACTCCAGTCGCAGCGAGAGGTTGGGTTGCCAAGTTGCAGGGGCCAAATTGTTTGAAACCTGCAACTTTCGGGGGCGAGGGTTTGGGTTTCTAACACATGTCACCTCGCAAGGTAAAGCAAAATCGTTACCCTCCAACCAACAACCACAGCTGTAAAGCCCCGCGAGGAATTCGACACACTTTCGAGCTTCCCTGGCAAAACATCCCAAACCCGACCAAATCAGATATAAGTCATTGGAGTTTACGTCCAGCAAATTCATATCTGTACAACCTCTATGGTAGCAGCAAACTCTGCTTCTGGAAAGCCTTCTAAAAATGAACAGACACAACCAAAGCACTAACTTTGTCTCTGCATACAACAACTGAATAGAACCCCCCCCCCCCCAAAAAAAAAAAAAACAAAAACAAAAACAACAAAAACAAAGCCTTGGCCAACAACAGCGAAGGTCGCCGGAGACCGAGACCGGCTAGGGGCGGGAAACCGCCGCGCTTCGCTTCCGACGAAAATCTCTGGGCATCCCGAGCGCCGCTAGGCCCGGCTTCGCCGGGGCGGTGTGCTTCGCCTCAAATGGCGGAGACCGAGACCGATTTGTTTCAGGGCGTCAGGGAACCCTTAATTCCCAGATAGCCAAGTGGCTGTTCTTTTTCAGTCACTGTTGCTGTTTTTGGGGGTAAAGTAGATGGACAAAACGCAGCAATTGGCGATCCAGGTTGGTCTTTTGGATTGGTGTGGATTCGGATTTGAACGCCTGGTTCAAGAAAGACCCCCCTAACCACCAAACCACCAAGCCCCCCAAGCCACCAAGCCAAATGACCAATTGGGAAGCTGAGCTCACCTACATCCATTTGCTTAACGTCCCCTGAAAAAAATATGAAGTGATAGATTCCGTTTAAACTCAACAGGGGACAGTGCAACATACTCATGTCAGCAAATTGAAGCCTGGAGTCTCCATGACCCTTTAACTCACTTGCGAACGAGTGGATTGGCCCCAACAAGTACCCAAACTGTTTGTTTACCCCTAAGATGGTCTTCCCAACAAGTTTGTTGTAAAATCGAAGTCAGGAAGTGAGATGACCCCCTTCAAAGGGGTCATGACCCCTTTCTTTGATACAGTGACCCATGGTTTCAGGGTCACAGAGACTCCAGGTACTCCAAGCCCCCATTTCAGGCTACGATTCGTGGCTTCTTTCAAGCAGATTTTGTTGTTGAAGACAACCCCGTTCTTCAAAAGAAAAGAAACATGTTATGGGTACGTACTACTGTGGATGGACGAGCTCCTGCACCACCTAAGAAACCATGGTTGAAACCATTGTATTCACAGGGGACTCATCAGACACCCGGGCTTCTCCTTGGTGCGAGGAGCGGACTTCGTTCACCCACAGGGTGCCTGATGCCGTGGCTTCCCATTGGGGCCCGGCCGAGTTCCCGCACTCCACCTTCGCCTGCAGCCGAGACTTTCGCACCTCGCGCCGCGTGAGCCAACCCATCGGCGGAACTTTGTTGGGTCCCGGAAAGTACCTCCTGATGGCTTCTGGAAGGCTTCGGCGTCTTCAGTGAATACATCTCCTTAAGTACCATAAGGGGCTAGGGGGTCTAAGTGTATCTCCTTAAGTACCAAGGGACCCTGTGAGTTTGTTATTTTCAAGCTGCACTTAAACCCAGGCGTGGTTCATGTCATTGGTTTCCACAAAAGGAACCCCCTGAGTTTACGTCTAGCTGCGGGCAATCAAAAGATGGAACCTCCCCTTCTGAGCTCCTGGCTGCAGGGGGGTCTTTGAAGACCTAAGCCGCCGCTTGAGTCCCGGATTTTTTTGGTGGGTGAACACGTCCATGGTCCACGTTACTCAAGCACTTGGAGAAATGTTGGCCTTATCCTTGGCATGTGAGCTTAAACACCTTGCTTTTGCAGCCACCCAAGCTATGAAAAGAGCCGCCAACCTGGAACACGCAACAAGTCTACGCCAATGACAGTCGGATCTGCCTATGCCAATGCACAATCATCTGGTGGAAACGAATTCTGTCGAGTCTCCGTCAACCTGGTGCTTGGCACGGGAAGCTGAAAACGTGCAGCCCACCTCACTCACCAAACATTCCCATTCTGTCCAGGTTTCCTTCTTTCCCCGGAAAAAAACAAACAGGAAAAAGGCAAGAACGGTTTTCCCGGGGAGCGCTTTTGCCAGGGGTCCCTAGAATTGCCCCTTCCAACAGTTGCACTTTTAGAGGTCCAAAACCCACTTCCTGCGTGGATTGACCAACCACAGTCAGAACTGTTTGTGCTTACCACCAACATGGTCTTCCCAACAAGGTTTCAAGTCCGAAACGGAACTCGGGAAGTGAGAACACAGGGAAACGGAGGGCCCCGCGCTTACTGTCAACTGCAGCTTAGGAGCAAAGTTGCGATTGCATCTGAACACCAGCAGCGCCGCCTCTTTGGCCGGCAAGGGCAAAGCCTGGCCAAAGCAGCGATGAAGCGATTCATCAGAAAACGGTTTGGATGTGGCGGGGGTGTGTGGATCTACCCCTGTAGGATATTAAAAGAGTATTGAAAGACCTCAAAAAAGGACCAACAGGGGGGAAGAATAGGTGAAATCCACCAAAAAACGCATCCAAACTATTTCTAGAATTCAATGACCGTGGCGAGCGAGTGGCATATCAAGGACCATTGGGATGGAGGATCTACAGGTCAGCCCTGTAAAAGAACAGCAGGCAGTAGAAAAAAACACCAGCAATATGAGGTCTTTGACGCTAGCGGAAACGCATCTGGAAAAAGTAGCAGGTGTTTTGTCTTCTTTGCTGTGTAGGGGGGGGTCTAACGAAAAGATTGCCCGATACAAACGAGTTTCCCTTTTCCAATGGAAGTCTGGAAGCCAGGACGCCAGCCAGGCGTGCGTAGTTCTGGCAAACTCAAAATTACCGAAGCGACTGTCCCAAACCTCAAAGCGACCCCCAAAGAATTTCCAAGACAAACAAGGACACACTTTTTGTTTGGTAGTTGAGGTCAAAGGGGGCCCACCCCTCCTCCAAAAAGGTGAACAAGGGCATCACTGGGTATCTGGGATACTGCAAGCATCCCCGTCCATGCCAAATGCCAATCTTCAAGGCATTTGTCAGCCCCTAACTAAACATGGAGGTATCTAACCATGGGATTTATGGTGTTCCCAAACATGTTCCCTGGCGAATACCCCTCGTGCTTCTCTGGTTTGACCTCACACCCCTTAAACAAAGGCATTTGGATGGGGGGGTTACAGGGGCCAGTCCACTAAGTAAACTCCTCTTCAGATTTTGTGAATTCTGACGACCAGCGGACACTGCAACCCTCGGGAAGCGAACCAAGACCTGACACGCCATCTAGTGAGTGATTTTCCGACACGCTCGGATGACCCCCCTGCCTCGAAGTGTTTGCTCAAGGCCGTGGGGCACAGGAAGACGTACCTCACAATCGTCCAACCGGATCTCCCAACCCAAAAAGAAAGAAAGAAAGAAGAACAGGAAGAACACTCCAACGGTTCACCGAGATTGAGACTGACCCCAACATGTGGCCTTCTTTTGCCATACAAACATGTCGACCCTAAATGTCCAACCCAAAGACCGAACACCACTTTCCGGCCTTCCTGGAGCCCTAGCATCCATGAGTCTTGCTCTTTTGCTTTCTCCGACCCATCTGGAGAAAGCGTCAGCCCGAAAGGGTAGATGTTGAAAAACCCGGCTTTTCATGGTAAATACATGTGAAGACGACTTTGGTTTAGCAGCTAAATCATCCCTGCAAACAGCGGAGTACTTGGGGCACAGGTAGCTTCGCATGCTTCTCGCACACCCAACACCAATAATGTTGGAGTCACAAAAAAAATAAACTTCAATCAGCCCATTCCAAACACCTGCCTCTTTTTCGGGGGTAATGTCAGCCCCTGACCCAAAAAAAAGGCATTTTGTGTGTGGAAACCCGGTTTTTTCAATGTATTCCAACCAAAACAGATACTTGGAGCCTTCCAAAACCGCTGCCCTTCCAGCCTGCGGTTGAGGTCAATGCGACTTCGCTTCATCTGAGACAGTGTCCGAGCATCCTGCCAACGCAACTTTTGAGCGTCCTTTTGGGTTGAACTGTTGGCATGTTTTTTGTTGAGCATCTTGGGTGTGTGAACTGTTGGCATGTTTTTTTTTTTTGGTTGAAACGGGACACCAAAACAAAAGGAATGCCACCATAGGGACCCGCGTATTTGACACACACACTCTTCAACGTTCCACCCAATGAGGATTCCTTTCATGGGTGCAGGGTTCGCTACAAAGATATTGACAGTTCTTGAAAGCCGAGGCGAAACCTGCCAAGCCACCCCTGGCCAAGGACACTACTACAGGCGAGCCCCTCAGAATACACAGCAATGTTGTCACAGCAGGGCAATGAGGAGACAGACTCTACCGCCCAAGTACAACCAGCAACCTTCGTCAACAAGCACCGCAGCAGAACGTGAGAGACGGAGCGCAACACAGCAGAATCGCCAGCGGACAAAGCAGAAGAACATAGCCGAGCCAACATCGCCAGTGGCTACATCAACGAAAGAGACACTCACTAGCGGCTCCACCAGCTACTACAGCATCAACCACAACAGAGAAAGATGACGGCATAGGAAAAGGAAGCGCACGCAAACCAAAACGGGCCTCGTCGAGAGACAAAGAGGCAAACGTAGGAGCAACCTACAGCTGGAGAGTGTACAACAAGATATGGCAAGCAGTACCAGTTCACATCTACTTTCTGAAGAACAATAAATAGCGCACCAAAGGGTCCTAGTAGAGCCAATCACACACGACGCAGAATGTTTGGGCCCACGACAACAAATAAAGGAGCAAACCGTCTTCACAAAGCTGGACGAGCCTTGACACCAAGACAAACCTGTGTAACACCATGAAGTACGAAAAGTAGCAAAAGGCTACAAAGAGCAAGTTGCAAACCACGACTTGGTCTTTGCGAGTACACCATTGTTTGCATACTGAAAGCGCTTCTCGCAATGGGACTTGTGTGCAGCGCGTCAGTCTGCACAGGACGGGTCAGTGTCAGTGTTGCATTCCTACATTCCACACCAATTACATGCTACAATTCTCCTGCATTTTCGGGGGTACTGGGCCCAAAAGTGTTTGCGGGGAAGTAAGGTTGGGGGGTTACACGGCCACAAGCCCTGGCGCCTTCATATCTCTTGAATGAGATTTGTCTGATGCACGCGGAGGGACAGCTTCTAGAAACCCTGGATTCAGAATCCTGGATCGATCCAAGATTCGCGGAATGCGTCAAGGACACATCTGGTGGAGTTGAAGGACAACCAGAGCTTGCCAGCCACACCCCAAGCTAGGTATTCCTTATGCATTACCCTGGCTGACGGCTTGTAAGAGCTCCCCCTATACTCAGAATACCCACCTTTTGGGGTGTTTCTTGTTGAGGAAAAAGGCTTCCCCGCAAAAAAATAGTCAGGGATAATACCTTTCACGCATGCTTGGAGGGGAGGGTTCAGGAACCCAGGTGCCAAAGCAAGAACCGCGTCCTCGAACATGCTGCCTGTCAGCTCCTGGCAATCCAGCACAGATTAAGCTCACAGCGAACCCTATTTTTTCTTTCCGCGGGCATGGGGCCTGACCGTTGCCAGTCGCACTTTTTGGACCCAGACTATTAGGTTTTGCCACATGGTGCGCACGGCTGAATTCCATGAACTCAGGGAGTGCGCAGAAAGGACACATTTCTGGGGTTGATCATTACAGAACCCGACAAGAAGGAACATGAGGTGCGAGACAAGTGGGATAATTTCCGCTCACCTGAGCAACTCACCAAATGAGGCTGGCCCTTCTAAAACCATGAGTACACAAAACCGCTTTTTGTGGGCCCTCTGAAGCATCAGCTGGAAGAGGCCCGCCTCCTACCCACATTTCTGCTGTTGGCGTATATTCAAAAACAAGGTGTCCACAAAAAACTACCAGCTTTTCCAGCCAGGTAGACCTCACACAAACGAGGGTCTTTGAAAAGGGTGGAGGGTGTTTGAGAGCTTTCCGGACCTGCATTTCCCCTTAGATCAAAAGGACAACCCACCCCAGTGCCTGTGCGCGACGCTGTTTTGCCGGTGTCTGACTCCCGGTCGAGCCTCCATGTCACCGGGAGCCATGGCCAAAGGTTTGACAACCCAAGAACTAATTCTGTTTCTGCAAACGCCGCCTTGTCGTCTGGCGCGACCGAATCTGGGGACTCCTTCAACGCTTTGCTTCACAAAAACCTGAGATCTCCAAAAGCATTTCCCGCCTGGAGCCATGAGCCAGGAACCACGCTGGGTAATCGATACTCCAAACAAACAACACGCTCCGGCTTCTTCTTTTTCTTGCCGATGTATGGCGCTTTGGCGCCATCGGGATGGGTTCGCGACTTTGCACAAGACATATCGAGAGCTCTTGAGAGATTCATGCACAACAACTACAAGCTGGTGTCTTTGACCACGCTGCTCCTGTCGCTTTACAGGCTCAGTCCATTCCACCCTGAGTTTGTACACCAGTGTGGGAGGGTGGGTGGGGAACAGCTGTAGTGCCACCCACTCATGGCCCCTCTTCGTGATCCAAGAAACACTTCCCTGAGTGCCCTTTTTGGACCATTTTGGAGCCCTCCGTCCTGGCAAAGTGCGTGCCATAGGACATCAGCCAGAAGCGCTTTGGCGGTTTTCATTTTAGTCTGCCTTTAAAAACAAGAAACTGATTGCCTACTGTCGCTTGCCTGATCAAAGTCGCCCGAAAGCTGAAAAGGTCGGCTGGCAAATGATGAGAGCAGAAGCTTCATACGCCTGCCAAGAACAGTACTGCCCGACAAAAGCCCACAGCAAAACCCGCCCCGATATAGGCACGTCTCAAACCTGCGGCCCTTGTGACAACTTTAATTTCAACAAGGAAACCAGCTTCAAAGGTCCTGGAACAAGAAAAAGGAAAGACTCCCGAGGTTTCCCGTTGCAAACATCACCTTTTGCCTAAGAATTCTCCAGACGCATGCCACTTTATCTAAGTCTGCCAACTGGGCCAAGCGAACTTAGCGAGGTTGTAACTCAGGCAGCAATATTGGAACCTATAACCGTGGCGAACTTAGCGAAGTCCGCGAACTAGTAGGGACCCTTATTTGACCACACACTTCCATTTGGTTAAGACCCCTGCCAAAAAATATGTCCAGTAGTGATAGAACCCCTTTTAAAATCAACTAGAAAGAAAAAACATAAGCAAATGGAAGCACATACACAAACGTACGTCTTTTCGCTCCAAACCACAGGCCGCTCCGGCCTGGGTCGGTGGGCGCCACTGACCCGTCGGAACCCAGGTTCGCTTGCACCGCCCGGCGCACAAAGTCCTCGGAACGTTCGCGTTGATCTTCGGCCAGAAATGAGTGGGTGTCTTTTTAGGGTACCCATTTTGATATGATTGCCCAGTCTATTATTGTTGAAAAAAAGGACAACATGTTTGGTTCTTTTTCCGATTTTGGGACAAACCCAAATATGTGGTTTCTTTTTCGTTTCCTTTTGAACCTATCTCAAGAGAGGTGCCCCCCAAAAAAAGGCACCCGCGTATGTGTTTTTTGAGGCTTCCCATTTTCAGCTGGTTGGGAAGCAGAAGGGGAACCAATCACTTTGGGGGTCCAAACCCCTCTGTTGACACACAGCCATATTGGTCATATGATGCCAAATGGGTGCATTGGTGGACATCCCTTTGGATTCCCTTGAAACACATCGTAAAAGCTCTTGTCTTAAACAAACACATCCATCCGGGTACAAATTTCAATCGCAGAACCTCCTTTGGTGTCCCATCAACTTTGTGGCCAGCTGGTCTTTTGCTTCTCCCGGGTTTCACCATTACTTTCTCTGTTTTCGTTGCTTCCCTGTGCTTGCCATAGTTTCCAAGTTGGTTACATGCTTCCTCTGTTTCCGCGGATTTATTGTGTTTTTCTTGTGTTCCACTGTCTTTCAATTTGCTTTAGCTCTTGAAAAGAAAAGAAAGAAAGAAAGAAAGAAAGAAAGAAAGAAAGAACGAAAGAAAGAAAGAAAGAAAGAACGAAAGAAAGAAAGAAAGAAAGAAAGAAAGACAAGAAAGAAAGAAATAAAGAAAGAAAGAAAGAAAGAAAATAAAGAAAGAAAGAAAGAAAGAAAAGAAAGAAAGAAAGAAAGAAAGAAATAAAGAAAGAAAAGAAAGAAATAAAGAAAGAAAGAAAGAAAGAAAATAAAGAAAGAAAGAAAGAAAAGAAAGAAAGAAAGAAAGAAAGAAAAAAAGAAAGAAAAGAAAGAAAGAAAGACATAAAGAAAGAAAGAAAGAAAGAAAGAAAGAAAGAAAAAAAGAAAGAAAGAAAGAAAGAAAGAAAGAAAGAAAGAAAGAAATAAAGAAAGAAAGAAAGAAAGAAAGAAAGAAAGAAAAGAAAGAAAGAAAGAAAGAAAGGAAAGAAAGAAAGAAAGGAAAGAAAGAAAGAAAGAAAGAAAGAAAATAAAGAAAAGAAAGAAAGAAAGAAAGAAAGAAAGAAAGAAAAGAAAGACACCCCCCAAATCACCGCGATGCATGAGGAAAGATCCCAATCAACAAGGACACCTGCTACGTTCAACCTGGAAGTCGCAACATGATCCGAGTACCGACGCTGGCACAACGGAAATGACTGAAAAAGGAAACCAGTCTAGTACCTTCCATTTCCATGCTATGGGATTCTCCTAAATGGGCCAAGCCCACGGGAAAATTGCCGAAGGAGCGACTCTTAAACCTTTTTCAAACTGCTCACTTGCCCCCTTTCCCGAGGACACCCTTGGTGCATGGTTTTCCTCTATTTCTCGGGCATGCAGAGTACGGGGAAGCCAAACTTGCCTACTACAACTCTCCAATTTTCTGATTCAGAGCCCAAACGCGACGGGAGCCCAAACGGCACAGTGCGTCTTGTCGTTCGCGGTCAGTCCAGCAAGAAAAGTAGGGACAAATGGTGTGCAGTTTTGTTGAGGTAGCCTTTTTTGTCGTGTTGGGCTACTTTAAGACACACCCACGTGGGTGTTCAAAGTATTTAGGACGTAAGGCGACCAACCCCAGGTACCTCAATTATTGTATGGCAACCTAAGTCGGAGTAATAGGATAGAGACACAATCAAAGCCTGGTATCAAAACGGTCTACCCAAGCCATGTAAAGACTTGCTCAAATCATCTGCCCGAATGGTTGTGAGGACGTGGCTCAAATGCCTGCCATGCCTTTCACTGTGGATGGCTCTTCTCGGCACCACCGTTCAGAAACCCCGAGTTTCTGACTCCATTCCGACAAACGTTGTGGTTTCGACCATGGTTTAGATAGGTGTCCTTTTAGGGGAAGCAGATGGCCCTAGATGATTAAACCACCAGGTCAACCAGGGGAACCCATCTATCTTTCCAGCAAAACAACCAAAAAGGGCACCTATGCTGGTTTAATACTCCCTGGGTCTCTCTTGAAAATACCAACAAACGCTGTGGAATCAGCCATGGATTCATTTCGTGGAACGGATTTCGCCGATTCAGCACCGCCACTCTCCGCGCCTGGTCTGCGCGGAGCTGGGGCGCCGCTAAACTCAGCGCTCCACTCCAAGTCCTGCGAGCGGTTTCTTTTCTCTGTCATAAGAATCGTCGAGGTAGCTAGGCCGTTTTTTTGCCGAACAACCATTTTTGGGGCCTGGCCCTGTCCTGGTCTCCCAACAGCGGTCTAAAGAGTGGTCGAGGTAGCTCAACCATTAGATGGCTAGAGGCTATAGTCTACCTTTCGAAGCTTGCATGCCGCTATTTGGTTCTGGGGATATATGGCAGTATGTTTTATCGAACTGGCTAAATGCGCCAATGCTCAAAATTGCAATTTGGCTGCCTGAAGTAGATGGCATTGTGCATATAAGCGCAACAATTTTCTTTAGGGAGACTGCCCCGTGTTTCGTCAATACGTTTTTGCATAGTGGCATTCAGCCGAGGAGGTAACATGACTTGCGCCCTCAACAATGCGTGAAGAGAGTGTCAAACGGGAACAAATAGGAAACGACTGCACACTCAAGTTACATCCATTGGTGGTTTTGGAACTCTGCATGACATGGTTGCTGACAGGTGTTTTGTTGTTTTGTTTTGTTTGGGCAAGTTGCATTTACTGCGATAGTTGTTTTTGGAACTTTGGATTTCCTCGAGGTTTTCGAGGAACTGTTGGTTTCCTTAAGGAATTTTCGAACTATCATCCCAGTAATGGTTGCTGTCATTAATTTTTAATAACAACTGTAAAGGTTGTGTTTCACAATATTGCGTTTATTGCTCACTTTGCATTTACTCAGGATCTGTTTTTTAAGATTTGCTGCGGTTCCCGGACATAGTTGCCGACATATTGGGTGTTTGTTTGTTGTTTTTTTGGGGGGGGATATTTTCATGGAGGTTTCCTGACTTTGGACTCACTGAGGGTCTTGGGGAACTTCCATCAAAAGGGGATTGTCCCCTAATGACCTTGATTTGGGTTGGAGCTTGTGCCTACCTTGTTTGCGGTTGTCATTGCTTTGTTTGTTTGCTGATCAAATATTTGCATGCCCCAACAAAGATGTGTGAACTTCTCATTTTGACCATTTTCCAGTGGAAACACGTGGCGCTCAGAGCGCTGTTGTTGAGGGTACCCGTTTTGGCTGGCATGGCTTTCAAGGGAAACTCGCATACTCAAAAATCGGATCGGCAACAAGCATACGCCGTGTGTTTTCAGCCGCAAAAGCTTCCAGCAAAAAACAAATCATGTCCAAAAGCTGATGTGAGTCGAACCACCCAAGAAACTCGCATGGAAAATGGGGCATCCTCTATGGGGGACCAACCGAGGGGTAATCCAACCATCTAAACTTGCATGCGTCTAGCGATATCTTCCCCGTAATTTCCAGGGCGGCAGTGTCAATCCTTGTTTTTGGAAGGGACTGGTTGGACAGAATGAAGAATTGCCCCAGACCCTGCGATATGTGTTTGCTTTTCTCAAGAATCTTGCAAACTCAAACTGGTGAATCTCGAGGTCCGCAACCATCAATGAAGTGTCTCCCCCTTGTAAACAAATCTTAAGTCCCAAAGGGGGGTCGTGCACTAAGTCTTTCTAAGGAACCCCTGAAAAAACCTCTCCTTAAGGAAACTCCACTAAGGCTCCCCAAGGAAAACTGGAAAAACCTCCTTGTACCACCCCCCTTCAGGATTCTCCACCAAAATCTCCGGCCGTCTCGCCCAAAGCTTCGCTTGCTGCTGGCTCGGTCCGTGCGGCGTGCAGCACGAGCTCCGGGTCCGCCAGCAGCTGGGGCGCCACGTAGCGCAGGGCCTCCCCGCGCGCCTTCACCGCCGCAAGGGCCACCGCCTGCGCTGAAGCGAAATCGGCGAGCAGCACCAGTGTGGCGACTGGACGGTGCGTCGATAAAAATAGGATTCCAAAATAATTATTTTTTTTTAAAAAAAAAAAAAAACATATAAAAAAAAAAAAAAAACACATGGGAAATGCAAACATGCACTAAAACCTGAAGTTGTTTTGGAGCATTTAGGTACCATTATGGCCATAAATCACTTGGACTTGCCATGGCTTTGGTGGTTTACCATGGTTGCTTGCCACTTAGCGATTCGTCCCATCCAAACACTCCCCCCATTACGATCCCAATGGAAACTCGTTTGGCAAGCCACCTGATGGCTTGTCAGGGAACAGCCGCAGATCTGGACGACTCCCCGTAAAAGACAACAACACACCTTGCTGGTCGAAGGGGGAAAGTGAAGGAAAGCCACAAATGCATTATTTTGAAAATTATATTTAGAAAATTCGTGAAAAATAAAGAAAGAAACAGACCAATTGAATGTCCCCACCTTTGGTCTGGCAATGAACGGCAAAACAAACACTTTGGGAGCCTGACCCAGGAGCGCAAAAACCGAAGCCCAAACTTACCCACTCCAAATACCTTTTAGGTCAGCGAATGACCCCGCAATAAACGCCGAGGTATAGGAAACACTTGTTTTGCCCAAATACACGAACTAAAAGAGCGGATGGATGCAATGTTGCCTGTATTTGGAGGTCAGCCATCCCGAAAGTGCCCCAATTCCACCTTGGACTTGCAACAAGAAAAACGTGAACAGATCAAGGTGCCTTGTGAGGGACCTTGGCGTCGCAAAGCCGCGAACTTCCACAACGACAGCGTCGCTCGCCTTGTCTGCACGCAGCCGCTGGGAAGCATAGGACAGCGCAGAGCCATGACCTCACATCAAACCACCCCCGGGTCGCCCATCACAAAGAAAAAGCTGGAACCGCCCAAAACTGGGCAACACAGAGTGTACTGGTCAGGACAAAACGGAAAAACTAAACTATCCGTTTTTGATTTCCTTGTGGGAACTTCGAACAATTCTGGCTATTTAGCATCCCGTTTAACCCATTTCTTGAGTCGATCGGCCCGAACAAATCAGAACTCAGTGTTTCCAACAATAGTCCAACCCAACACAGGTTCTCAAGCGAAGGGAGCTGGCTTCGTCTCTAAAATGGGGGAAGCCTCAACATGGGCGTGTCTCTTCTTAGTGACCCTCTTTTGTGTAGTTATAAAAGGACACCAAAAGAAAAACCACAATTTCTCACCAAAAACAACACCCACGTGGGTGGTTCACACACGCCAAGTGTCCCGAAAAGAGAATAAGCCCGGGTGGATTCCCTACAGCGTAACCTCCTGGAATGCTCTGGAAAACCACCCCTATCTGGGCAAAGACCAAATCCACTAGCTTTCAGCTGGGGCAACAACAACACACTCCCAAAGTGCTTCACACATCAAGCTTCCCGAAAACAGACAGAAAAAAACCCACAAACCCTTCAAACCGGGTCCCCCCCTCTAAACCAGCAGCCCTTCAAAAGCCCGGGCAGGTCGAAAAACATCCCCGGCCCGCCCGCCCTTTGGCGCCTTTCACCGCCTGCAGCACCAGCTGCCGGTCGTCCCTCAGCGCCTCTGCGACGTAGGGCAGCGCCAGGCCGTCTTCCGCCAAGGCCACGGCGGCCAGCTCCTGACGGGACCCCCTGGCTCGGCGGCTCGGCGGCTCGGCGGCTCGGCGGCTCGGCACGTCCCACGGGCAAAAAAAATATATGCATGGAGCCTCACGTGCATATCTCTCCCTTGGAGTTGGTGAAATTTGGCTGGGTCGGAACATTGGTGCCAACATGGGTCTGAAGTGTTAATTAGTCTAGGGGTTGATTCCTTGTCCATTCTGTTCAACCATCGCTCTTTTCGAAAACCGATCGCTGTTTCCGAGTTTTTTGTGTTTTGTTTTCGGTTTTTGTAGAAAGCAGGATCCCTGGAAAGAATGGGGAAGCTACCCTTGAATCAGGGATCCTTTGGTGGACACTGGTCCATTTTCCGGGGGATCCATGTTCATCAATTACTTTGGAAGGGTTCCCTATTAACATTCAGAACCTGGCTTGCCCTGGCAAATAGAACCAAGGACTAAAACCTGTTCTCTCCTGGTGGTTGAATTTTGATCATTTACCCAGCAACACTTGGATGGTGATTTACCCACCCACCAATTAACTAACATGGAAGCTGACAAAAAGGGGTCCTGGACCATGGTCCTTTTGAAGGGAACGTCAGGTTCCACGTTAATCGGTGGGAGGGTACTTGCTGGTGCGATAGGCAGCTAGGGAATCACCAGGAATCCCACTGCTAATAATCAACCGGAAAGGGGGAATTTCCCAAACAAAAACAACCATAAGGGGATGGATGTGATTTTTCCTTTTAATAGAGGCCACTCCATTTCTCATTCCCTGAGAACCAGCAAGCTTCTGTCCATTGTCTACTCCTTCAGAACATCCAAGTCGAGGGTCCCCCCCCAAAAAAAAAAACCTATCCTGGATCCCCGGTTGACTGTATTGTCCAGCTACTTTTGCCAAATTTTGGGCTACTAGTGGGTAAAGTGGCTGGAAAAAAGTGGCTACTTGGGGATCCAGGCAGTCACTTGCAAAGATACCCATGGGTTTAAGTTCTGGAATCCTGTACGCGAATCAGCATAGGAACACAGCCTGGGAGAATTTTCTTCCATCAATGGCGCCTCAGTGGGTGAGCTGGGTGTAGTTCCTTCCAGGTGAGGTTGAAAAGTTGCCCAGACTAAACAAGAGAGACACCTGGCACATCAACTAGGTCCTCCAGTAGAGAGGTTAGAATAAGGGTACTTTTTCCGTAGTCTATTTTAGTAGGGGAACCCTCCCCCAAAAAAGTTGGCGAGAAAGGGCACTACTGAAAAACCTACTCAATGCTAGGGCCTAGGGGCCATTGCCTTGACCGCCTGGTGCAGGAAGTACCATGAGACAGTTTGTTTTTGATTCCCTTCAAAGGGGGTACCCAACTTGGCTGTGTTAAAAACTTCCGTGTAGTTTATGATCAGGGTCAGGGGCCTATCCCCAGTAACCCCAGCTATATCTCTGGCAACCTACTTATTTAAGTTGGTCGAATATCCGAGGAAAGCAGGTTGATAACAGCAGCGCGCCGTTGCACAAGTAAGGAACACCCACGAGAAGGCCTGCGGCTCGCGGCTCCTTGTCAGCTCGAAGCTGCTGATCCTCAGGCTTACGCAACAAACAGATCTCGCAACAAATTGGACAAGCAAACAAGCGGGGATACGCAGGGAGCGGGGATATGGGGGGATTCCCTTGGCGCCATTTCCCATATGAAACTTAGTCAAGTTGCATTTAGGCAGAATCCTCCCGTATCCTTGGTTCCCACATGTATCCCTGCTAGTTGGTTTCCCTGAAAAGAAACAAATCAAGAGACAGAAAGGCATGACTTGCAGTTGCAGATGTTGGGCGTGCAGATTGTTTCAGACGTCAAAGCTATCCGAGGCCACTTCATTGGTGACAATGTTGAAGCTTACCGAAGCAATGACTGCCGGGCTGTTTGCTTCCTCCCGCAACAGTGAACCAAAACTGGACTGAAACGGCGAAATGCTGGGCCATCTCTGAATTGCTTGACTGGGTCCTTTGAGGTTTTTCTGAGTCATGCCAGTCTGGTCAAGGCATATGCCACAAAATCGAGACGTGCCGTAAGGGTCCAACGTGTCACCGCTAGACCCTTCTAAACCGAACAACCATCTGGAGGTCCCACTGTAGGCAAATCATGATGACTGAACAAACCCATGGATGATGAATAGGGAGTGTCCCATGTGGGGTTCTTAGCAGTTTGGGCAACCCCTATCAATCAACGCAGTCCATTCATCTTGGACGACATTGACTGAAACTTTGATTGCCTACACAACATCTGAACAACTACAACTAAAATGGTGTTCTCAACAAGTGTAAATTTCCAGGAAGTCAGAAAGTGAGTTATGGACATATTACAGCTCAAGCCTTTTAACGCGGGGGGGCCGGGTCCCTTGCGCATCTCGAATTATCTTGCCCCGCGCGCTGGCTGCTAACATTTTTCACCGGCACTCCCTGAACATTACAAACCAAACAAAAACATCATCTTTTTTGTTCACATCTCTCTTTTCACATAGGATATCTTTGATTCAACATGGATGTTTTTCTTCATTTCTTATTCAACATTAGGATATTTTGTTCACCTCTCTCTTCTTTTCCTCAGCTGACGACGTGGAGCCATAATTGCGGGGTTCAAAACAGGCTAATCCACAAAAGCAACGCGCAACACCTCGAGTTTGTTCCAAAGAAACAAGTCAATACATCAGACCTATGTGAAGCAAATCAATTAAACGCGCCTGTTCAAATATGGTTTTATTGGACATGCAATCAGGATTCAAATATTCAAGATGACAAATATTGATTAACATTTATATCTTACATTAGGATCTAAATAGGAACTTCCTTTCAGATAGGAAACTCATTCATAGTTGAATTACAATCTACATATTCTTTAATAAGGGCATAGCTCTCAGTTACATTGCTTTGATTCGTGATCCTAACTTAATAGAACAGAACTTGCATGTTCCTTGAGTTCTATAGGGGTTCACTCTTTTAAGGGGCAGGGGTCAATTCGGAAACACTACAATTAGAAAACACAACAATACTTTGTTGCTTACGAAAACTTGACTTGACATCTACATGGCTACAGTTCAATTGAACACCTGTTTGTAGAGGACTTCTACTTGATATTTATATTGAAATAGAACATCAAACAATTACTTGGGCCCTTGGACACATTCCCAATGTTGAGGGTCAAAAAACAGTCGAATCGGAATTCAGGCCCTTCCCCAAGTGGTAGTCTTGTTCACTTCAAAACAAGGTGTGTCTCATGAGCCTCAATCACAATGCTTCTCCTCACTAGGTCTCCCGTTCATTCGAAGCACCAGGGGCTTCCCCGAAAGACATTTTTGACAACGGGGAAAAGCCCAAATGTCCCATGAGTTGCCCTTGAAATCAAGGTGGGTCTATCTCAAAATGAGTGAAACCTCCAATTCAAACACAAAACACATGCGATCATCACCTCCCCCCCCCAACTTGTCCCAGAAGGTCTGTCTTTTCTTGTGGGTACCCTGTTTGGGCTTGTTTCAAAGAGGAACCAAAGGGAACACTGACATCCAACCTCAAAAAAGACACCTAAACCCTCAACCCACCCTTAAAACAAGAGAAATTCACCCATCATTTTGGGGCCATAACCCATTTGTTCAGTCGGTATCTTGAAGGTCCAGGCCCCAAAACGGCAGCCCTCAGGACGGCGGGGGCCGGTGATTCCAACGAACTCGAGGCTCCGCGAAGCGCAGGGCGAGGCCGCAGCGCCGCACCGCCGCCAGCACGATGCCTCCCACCGAAACCCCGAAACGCCGAGTGAAGCGAGCGAAGCGAGTGAAGCGATCAGCTGGGTGGTTTTCCTTCTGGTTTCCCCTTGCCGAAAAACGGGCTTTCAAGAAGCGCACAGCTCTGCAGTGCTTTGGGTTGAGTTGAACGTTGGTGTGGATCGGATTTACCCTCAAAACCCGGGGTTCAACTCCCCAAACCACCGATCCTCACCACCCACACCGCCTATAAGGCTTATGAATAGGTGTGTATTTATTTGAGGGTACCCAATTTTTGGCGGCAAAGGGAAACTAAAAGGACAAGAAGCTCTGATGTGCTTTGCTGTTTGTTGTTTTTTGCTGTTTTCTGTGGGGGGCTAATTTGACATACTCATCGAAAGGAACCTCTGGAGGTATGGGTGCCTTGGAGGCACGCTCCAGTCCCCAATTTTGGGAACGGCTGGAAAACCAAGAGGACCCCATACCCAGCAAGAAGCAAACGTTGCTTTCATGCGGTGAGCCTGGAAACAATGGAACTGAGTGTTGAGAGAGATCTTCCGGCAACCAAACACTGAGAAAAATACAAAATGTGTGTGTGTGTGTGTGTGGGTGGGTGTGTTAAATATCCTTGTTTATCATGTTGGCATCAAATCGTTTCATCTGGTTCATCATTTGAAGATTGGTTCACCAGGCGTCATTCCTGAAAACATGTGCTGGTTTGAAGCGCAGGGAAGACCATATGTGGGCTGAACAAGGACGAACAAATGAGGGCACAGTGCAAAAACATGACAAACTCTCTTCTACATAGAAACCCAAGGGTTCACGCATTCCAGCAACGAACCCCTCTGCTTTTAGGGCGAAACCCTCGGCATTTTTTGCAACAAGGAACCCTTTTCTTTGGGTCGCCAAAAGTACATCTGGTTTGGGTGCAACACCTCAGAAAGGTGAGCCAAAGAGTTGTCAACCCATTTTTGCAGGGCTCACTCGATCTGCCTTTCAAAGGCTCGTGTCTTGCTGAAACAGTTTCGGTCTGCCAGTTACCAGGCCCCGAAAAAAAAAAAAACAACAACTGGTCTTGCAAGTCATCCCTCTCCATGTGGAGAGTATCCACAAAATAGACAGAAGTTTAGTACCATTTTATGTTTTCATGAGCCCCGCAGCTTCAGCGACCAGGCGGTCATCCTGCTTGATCCAGTTTTGTGTCTCCACTCGGCTGCGACCATCCAGAGGAGTGGTGCGCTCCATCGAGCAGCTGACAGGGTGAAGCTGGCGCCTCATCCTTTGCTTTGCGCGCGTCTGGACAGTTCGACGCAGACAGCTACATGAGCTGGACTCCTTCCGGAGTTTCGAGAGGAAAGCACATGGAGCCTACAAAAAGAGGCTTTGTGCTGGGAGAGTCTCGACATGTGGTTCAAATTTTGGGGGAGAGTGCGTTTTGGCTTCAAAGGAAACCAAACAAAACGTACTCTCAGACCTCTGGAAACCCCGCCAGCCTGGTCAAACATCACTGGTGCCACCGAAGGAAGCGCACTATCTGGCCCAAAATGCGATAACACCAACCCAACAGGGAAATGACTGAAAGGCAAGCCTGCGCATGCTTGTGCTTTTGTTCAGGGACCCCCCAAATGGCTGTTTTACCTGTTGGCCATCCCCAAATTGCAATGTTTGCAGCAACCCAACGGGGACCCCCCCAAATGGTGGTTTATCTGTTGGTTTTCCCTTAAAAAAACAAAAAAAACTCGAAACCAGACGCCATCGCGCGAACGCGCCTGGGTGGCTTTTCAGTCGCCGCGAGGCGTTCTGCAGAGCGGAGCCCCAGAGGCGCACCGCTTCCAGGACGATCTCCTGGGAGTCCCCTCTGTGGGAAACGCGCCGAACACTCTAGGGGTTGATTCCTTGTCCATTCTTTTCAACCATCGTTCATTTCAAAAACCGATCGCTGTTTTCCCAGGTTTTGGGTGGGTTTCTAGAAAGAAGGATCCCTGGAAAGAATGGGGAAGCAACCCTCAGAAACAGGGGCAACTTGGGTTGGAAAATTGGGTACGTGTCAAGAACCCGGCCTAAAATGGAGCTTTTGATTCCGTTGTTGGTGTCCCTTCAAGCCAGCTCGAAAGGGGCATCAACAGTCACTTGGATGTGGGCTAGCTGAATAGTTAGCATTCCTACCAGGCTCAGGCGAGGTTTACGGCTCTGATTGCTAACCACGCCACATTTTTCCTAGATCTTGACATTGCCTTTTCGGCGTCCGTCTGGTAAGACAGGGATCCTTGTATGGTACAATTTCCATTTCTGCACCAAATGAAGCGTGAAAGGATACCACTTTGGCCAGGAGATTGCTCTTCTTCTCTTCAACTAGCACACGCTTTCCTCTAGGCTTCCCTCTAAATCCAACATGTTCGAGGGCCCTTTTAAGCCATCGAATTGCCTGCGGTCACTCGACTACTCCTCGTCATCTTGCAAGGCCTCCGCTGCGTAGACCAGCGCCAGGCCATCATTCCGGACAGCCTGAAGAACTCACTGGCGAGGGGCGAATGCGCCAAACAGAGCCGAGACATGGACAAATTGGATCCCTTCACAGCGGGAAATTCGGATTGTGTCCCCTCCTCACTTTGTCCCCTTCCCAAACCAACAGCAGACCACCAATACTGTCCGATACATACTCATATAGCATCCAACTACCAGGTTTCCTGAGATGTCCAACCTCATAACATCACAACTCATTCAAAAGATGTTTCAAGCACCTGACATGTCCTTACAGAACTCCTGGTGGCTCCTTAGCTCTCCCTTAAGCAAATTTGGGGATCCCCCGGCTCTTTCTTTGGGTCTACGAGGACAAAACGCGACCACAGCTCCGACCGCCCGAAACTTCCACTGGAGCGCCTCCAGCACGACGCCGCGCATGGCGCGGACCTGCGGAAGAGGCCGCGTTGCTCGGCTGCGGCTTCGTTGCTGTGCTGTCCAAGGGATCTCTAAGCTGACACGGCGGAGAAAACCAAACCGCAGACTTGACAATCTAAAAGCTGAAGTAAGAATTGGATCAAAACTTTTGAATAACTGATTGATAAACCGCCAAAGCACAAGCTGAGTTAAGAAAATTTGATCCCAAGTAAAGGATCTTTGGGATAATAATCCCAGGTGAGCTTGCTATAAAATGCAGAGGGTCTGCCCCGAAAATGGGCCTCGGTTTACTGTTGATTTCGTTTAAAGCCTTTCCAACGGCGTGCCCCAAAAAAAACGCACACATGGAAACTTGTTTAAATATTGCCCCTTTTGAGCAATTCGTTCTGGGTCTACAGGTGCATTTGTGCATTGTGACGCCCATTTTCTGCGCGCGAGCAAGTCGCCGCTTTCTCCCGTGGAAGATTCCGTGGATGTGGGCGGAAGGGAAGCAAGATGGAGACTCAAGCCCTTTGAGGGCAAGCCACATGTTTGAAGAGCCCATTTCCATTTCCGGAGCTTTCGGGCATACTCCTTACCGATGTTTACTGAAAAACTTCAAGACTCGTGGCTTCAACGCGGCGCTTCTTTGCTTAGCTGTGACATAACTCGGCGGTTCAAAGTTTGTTTTCCTCTTATTTCATTTTGGAGCTCCCATAAGGTTATCCTTTGCTTCAAAAACTTGACATGTAGACGTGTCTTCAAACGGAGCATACACACAAAACTCAAAATCGCTGGTTGGTGTTTGGTTTTGCTTTACTCCACTTTGACCAGGGCAACACCTCGTTGTTTCAGAAAGCAAGGAGCCACGCCCATTTTCTCAGCCCCATATTGAATCACAAAGGCTTGGGAACCCGATCCTTGGGGGAGGAACTTGGAGAGCAAGCCAGGTTGGCTAAAACAGGAGGACCTTTGCTGCTTTCTTATCGAGACCTACCGAACCCAGTGGAAAGTGCGCCTAAGACCAAGGCAATCCCCATGACTGCAACGGGGTTCCCTTAGTATCACAAAAAATGGTCCTAACCAGCGTCGTCTTGTTGCGCTTGCAAACATTCAGACAGGTCTGTCGGCAAACAACCAAACTCAAGCAATGATCCTCAGTTGTTCAGTGACCCTGGAAAAAAAGGGAGCCCTTTTTGGGGAAGGCCATATTTTTAGTGGGGCAGCCACCCAAAAAAAAAGAAAGGTGCCACTGAAGAACTGATCAGGTCGATTTGGGGCAACCCCTCCTTGTGCCATTTGGGGCGACACAGAAGCAGTGCGCCTGAGGCAGCGCGTATTGCAGCGCCACCCCCCAGGTCTTCACAGCTTCCAGCACCACCTCTCGGAGGCTTTTTTGAGGTACGAGGATTGGGTGCGTCTTGTTTTGAGATTAGGCGTGTCTTGTTTTGAGGGTACCCCTCTTTCGTGGTTCTCATAACCAACCGAAAGAACAAACACCACCTCGGCTATTTTGAGGTACTTTGAGGTACCAGATTTGGGTGCGTCTTGTTTTGATGTTGTCTCTTGGTAGGTCTATTGGGAAACCGAAAGAACAAACACCATTTATAGGTCCCCTGAAAAGAGAGACAACCATTCAAGGAACCAAGGCACTGGGTGTTCAAACGTCAGGCAAGAAGATTGCTAAGAGCAAGTGAAACGGTTGCACACCAACAGTCTGCACAGAGTGCGGGCAGTACCTGTACACATACAAAGAAGCTCAGAAACCCAATCCGGCGGCAAACAGAAGGCAAAGGCCCACCAGTGGCAATCAAAGAAAGAACGCAACTGATTTACAGGGAAACCACGAGGAAACCACCCAATTTTTGGGTCCCCGGGTCCCCTCTTTTGACAGATCCCAAGGCACACTGCGAAGGCACAATGCGTATGACAGGCACAGGACCTGCCTTTCAAAACGACGGTGAATTCGACAGGCAATCAACACACAAACCTTCAAGCTCGACTAGCAAACCCAAACAGGCGAAGCAACAAATGGTTAACATACAAATAGTGGGCCAAACCACAAACTAAGCAATTAAATGATAAAATCCGTAAATACAGTAACCGGTAAACAGTGATACAACCAAAAAGAGATCAATAACTAGATAAAACATTGTGCATTGTTTGTTGAACAAAACAACGCAATAATACATACACAAATCTTAAAATACATAGTTAACTAGATAAATATACACAGTGCATACACACATACATGCATAAGTCCACAAGTCCATACAGTTCTTAAAGGGGACTTTTCAAAAAACAAGCTACGTAGAGCTAACAATAACAACACACACACAGACACACAACCAGACTCAACTCATCTGGGCACCCTGAGGTCAAAACACTTTGTAACCGGCACCTCAGGCGCTATTAAACTGTTAGTGGCCTCCATTTGGGACCTAGGAACTACCTGCCAGCGGGTAGTTCCAAAACCTTCATGGCACTCTGGTGTCAAATAAATCCACAAACACATAGATGCAACACTCCATACAACGCACCGAACAACAAAAACAGACCTTACCCCCAAACCCCACACAAACGAAGGGGAACCCTTCGATACGCATTCGGGAAAACGACAAAATCTGGCACCCTCAAATAACACACAAACAGACTTAAATAACAAAGAACTGACAAACAAACAGACAAACAACACACTCTCGCTTGCTTTCTGCTCCCCTGCTACAAGTTAGCTGTTAGTGGTTTAATGAAAAACCTATTAGTTCAAAAAAACATTCAGTCCTAACATCCAAGCAAAATGCAACATTAGACTTAGGGCCAGTTATAGGATGTATATTATGTTGTTTGCTTCCCTTTGAGTCACTGATAAAATGAAAAATGTATCCTCAGTCTAACGGGGATCCTTACATTATGAAACTAAACATTGCTTTGTAAATGGTAGCAAAAACAACAACCAGACAAACAAACAAACCGACTCAAATAACAAACAACTGACAGACAAACAAAACAAACCGACTCAAATCACAAACAACAGACAGGCAAACAAAACACACCGACTCAAATAACAAACAACTGACAGACAAACAAAACAAACCGACTCAAAAACAAACAACAGACAGACAAACAAGACACACCGACTCAAATAACAAACAACAGACAGACAAACAAAACACACCGACTCAAATAACAAACAACAGACAGACGAACAAAACAATCCGACTCAAATACCAAACAACAAACAGACAAACAAAACAACAGACAGACAAAAAAAACGACTCAACAATAAAAAACAACAGAGAGACAAACAAAACAAACCGACTCAAATACCAAACAACAGACAGACAAACAAAACAAACCGACTCAAACATAACAAACAATAGACAGATAAAAAAAAAAAAAAAAAAAAAAAACGACTCAAATAACACACAACAGACAGACAAACAAAACAAACCGACTCAACTTCACAAACAACAGACAGACAAACAAAACAAACCGACTCAAATCACAAACAACAGAAAGACAAACAAAACAAACCGACTCCAAACACGAACAAGAGACAGACAAAAGAAACACACAGCGACTCAAATAACAAACAACCAGACAAACAAAACAAACCGACTCAAATAGCAAACAACTGACAGACAAACAAATCAAACCGACTCAAATAACAAACAACAGACAGACAAAAAGAAACAAACCGACTCAAACATAACAAACAACAGACAGACAAACAAAACACACCGACTCAAAAATAACAAACAACAGACAGACAAACAAAACAAACCGACTCAAATACCAAACAACAGACAGACAAACAAGACAAATCAACTCATATTTCAATCAACAGACAGACAACAAGAAACAAACCGACTCAAACATCACACACAACAGACAGACAAACACATCAATCCGACTCAAGTCACAAACAATCAGACAAACAAAACAAACCGACTCAAATAACAAACAACAGACAGACAAACAAAACACACCGATTCAAAAATAACAAACAACAGAGAGAAAAACAAAACAAACCGACTCAAATAACAAACAACAGACAGACAAACAAAACACACCGACTCAAATACCAAACAACCCGACAAACAAAACAAACCGACTCAAATAACAGACAACGGACAGACAAACAAAACAAACCGACTCAAAACACAAACAACAGAGAGACAAACAAAACAAACCGACTCAAATAACAAACAACCAGACAAAAACAAAAAAACCGACTCAAATAACAAACAACTAGACAAACAAAACAACCGACTCAATTCACAAACAACTGACAGACAAACAAAACACACCGACTCAAATAACGAACAGCCAGGCAAACAAAACAAACCGACTCAAATAACAAACAACTGACAAACAAACAAAACACACCGACTCAAAAATAACAAACAACAGACAGAAAAACAAAACAAACCGACTCAAAAATAACAAACAACAGACAGACAAACAAAACAAACCGACTCAAAAATAACAAACAACTGACAGACAAACACAACAAACCGACTCAAAAAACAAACAACTGACAAACAAATAAAACAAACCGACTCAAATAACAAACAACAGACAGAAAACCCCCAAAAAAAAAACGACTCAAAAATAACAAACAACTGACAGACAAACAAAACAAACCGACTCAAATAACAAACAACAGACAGACAAACAAAACAAACCGACTCAAAAATAACAAACAACTGACAGACAAACAAAACAACCGACTCAATTCACAAACAACAGACAGACAAACAAAACACACCGACTCAAATAACGAACAACCAGGCAAACAAAACAAACCGACTCAAATAACAAACAACAGAGAGACAAACAAAACAAACCGACTCAAATAACAAACAACAGACAGACAAACAAAACAAACCGACTCAAATAACAAACAACCAGACAAAAACAAAAAAACCGACTCAAATAACAAACAACTAGACAAACAAAACAACCGACTCAATTCACAAACAACTGACAGACAAACAAAACACACCGACTCAAATAACAAACAACAGAGAGACAAACAAAACAAACCGACTCAAATAACAAACAACCAGACAAACAAAACAAACCCACTCAAATAACAAACAACAGACAGACAAACACAACACACTGACTCACAAATAACAAACAACTGACAGACAAACAAAACAAACCGACTCAAATAACAAACAACAGAAAACCAAACAACACAAACCAACTCAAAAATACCAAACAACAGACAGACAAATAAAACAAACCGTCTCAAATAACAAACAACAAGACAAACAAAACAAACCGACTCAAATAACAAACAACTGACAGACAAACAAAACAAACCGACTCAAATAACAAACAACAAACAGACAAACAAAACAAACCGACTCAAATAACAAACAACAGACAGACAAAAAGAAACAAACCGACTCAAACAGAACAAACAACAGACAGACAAACAAAACAAACCGACTGAAAACACAAACAACAGACAAACAAACAAAACAAGCCGACTCAAATAACAAACAACTGACAGACAAACAAAACAAACCGACTCAAATAACAAACAACAGACAGGCAAACAAAACAAACCGACTCAAAACACAAACAACAGACAGACAAAAAAGACAAGAAGAACGACTCAAATCACAAACAACAGACAGACAAACAAAACACACCGACTCAAATAACAAACAACTGACAGACAAACAAAACAAACCGACTCAAATAACAAACAACAGACAGACAAGCAAGACACACCGACTCAAATAACAAACAACAGACAGACAAACAAAACACACCGACTCAAATAACAAACAACCAGACGAACAAAACAATCCGACTCAAATACCAAACAACAAACAGACAAACAAACACACCGACTCAAATAACAAACAACAGACAGACAAAAAAAGACAAGAACAACGACTCAAATCACAAACAACCAGACAAACAAAACAATCCGACTCAAATACCAAACAACAGACAGACAAACAAAACACACCGACTCAAATAACAAACAACAGAGAGACAAACAAAACACACCGACTCAAATAACAAACAGCCAGACAAACAAAACAAACCGACTCCAGCATCGCATTCCTCTCGCCTCTGCATCCCCCCGCAGGCTTTGGGACGCACATCGCAGGGCCGGGGCCCAGCGCTTCACGGCGGCCAGGACCAGATCCTTGTCCGCCTGGCGGACAAAGAGAGGTCGAGGGGAACCCTGGGTGAAAACCAGATAGGCAGGGTGCCACCCTTTGGTTTAAACATCTTTAAGCCACTGGTTGTGATGATTCTTCCTTGTAAAGGTTGTTTCTTAAACCATTTTCTGCCCCACCCAGCAAATATCAAAGCGTTGGATTACAGGAAGTTATACAGGAACACAGCCGATTTTCAGTGTTTGGGGCATTTCCTGTAGATTTCCTGTAACCAAACCCTTTGAAAATAGGTGGCTAGGTGTATGGGGTGTGGGTTTGGGTGTGGGTGGGTGCGTATGCGTTTGGAAACATGGTATGAGCATGGGCTGGGTGAAAACCAGTAGGTTGTGGCCAGGTGTGGGTGTGTATATGGGTGTATGGGGGTGGCTAGGTCAGTGTGACTGCATTAAGGTTGGTTTAACATGCTCACAGGTTGGTTGAGCCTTCAGGTTGGTTCAATATGTTATAGAGGTTTCTAGGTTAGTTTAGCCTTCAGGTTGGTTCAATACGGGTATAGGTTTACAGTTTGGTTTAGCATGTTGGTTTAATATGGATCTAGGTTTACAGGTTGGTTTTACCCTTTAAGCAGCCCGGGCCCACCAAAAAAACACAGCATTTTTAGGTCCAAAGGGTCCTGAGCCCTTGAATGGAGGAACTAACATTCATAAAAAGTCCTGTCACTGTCAGCATCATTACCTCTTTGGAGAGGTCGACCCAAGATGGTTAGGGCAACAATAAGTTGCCCAAGTTGGACTCAAATGCTTTTGCCCTTCATCCAACCCTGTGTCATGTTCTTGCAGGACGTGAGTCGAGCTTCAGAGGCATTTCCCCTTTGCACAATACTCCAAGAAACTACCCTTTCTTACCGCGCCTGTCCACAAAGAACTTTGGCCTCAAAACCCATGTGTTTCCCCTCTGCTTTCCCCAAGACATGGAAATCCCGTCGCCAAGGCAGAGGGTGTTCTTTCCTCATATGGCCATGGGTCAAAATCCAAATCGTACCCCCAGTGAACATCCCAGTCCCCACTAAAATAGGTCCTCAATGGGTGGTGCACCTACCAACCAAAATGAGACCCCATTGGTTTTGACAACCACAGCCATATCGGCTCGAGGAATTTTTCGCTAGCGCCTGGGCAGCCTCGCTGGCGTAAGTGAGGGCATCCCCGCGGCTGCAAACAGCGGCCAGGACGATGTCCTGTTTCTGTTGTTTGGGGCACCCCAATTCTTGCATTTCCTCCTCTTTCTTTTGGGGGGGGGGGATTTTGTTGGGGTACCCCATTTTTTGTGTTTCCTTTCTTTTCTTTTGTTGTTTTTCTTTTTTGGGTGGGGGGACGGGGGGGATGTTAAAGGCAAACCAGAAGGAAAACCGAAGCCATTTTGGTGGGTCTTTTCTTGGAGAGTGGGACCTCCTGGGAGGTAGGTTTTCTGCAAAACTCTCTTTTTGGGGCGATTTTGAACGGACACCAGAAACAAAAAGGATTCACCGTTTGGGGTGACCTTTGCTGTCATGGTAGCTCTTTAGCTCCTGCTTTAAAGGCAAATTTGGATACCCCTAGCTCCTTGGCTCCCTCCAACCACCACCGCAGACACAGGTGAGCTTTTGAAAAAAAGTTGGGTTTCCCTGGTAGACGGGATAAAATCAATCTAAACCAGTGCCATCTATTTCCAGGCAAACTAACCTAAAAGACCACCTAGTTGGATTTCAACGAACGTGGCGGGCAAAGTGCAGAATTCTCAGGACCACGCAGTGGGCGATAGCAGACAAAAAGGGACCCAAGCTCCCCAATCCACGAGCTATTTCCCGAGTTCCTGGTTCCAAGTGGTTTCTCAGCAAGCATATGCAGCATGTGCCCGGCCCCCAATCTACCTAGGAACCGAATCCTGGGTCGGTCACTTTCCATTGGGGAGTATGTTTCTTTGGCCACGCGTCAACGTCATGCCGGAGGAAAAGCCAAGCAATTTCAAAACCAAATACTGAACTCAATCCACAAACCAGGACAACAACACAATCCGAAACAACCCCCCAAAAACAACCGCAAACCAGTGCGAAGCCGACAAACTGGAATCCAAAGGCAAACCAAAGCAAACAAACCAAAGCTAAGCCCAAACCCAACTCACAATCCCAAACTAAGCCCCAACAAAATCTTACGCAACGCCCGACAGGCCAAAAGACCCACTCCAAAACCAAACCTCACTGCAACTTCCAATCCAAACAGCTGAAATCAAACCCAAAATCCATAAGACGCGCCCCTTAAGCATAGGCGCGGGCACTCAAAATGCGCCATCCAAGTCGAAGATTACTCGAAGAGAAGCCAGAAATGGTATTGAGGGTTGCATCGAATGCTTGGCAAGCTCTGAGGCCACCGCGGCTTAGAACTCCTAGCTGGACCCTCAAACTACCCTGGGTTAGAGTGAGCCCCAAAATTATGGGGGGTGCTTAAATAAACGTTGTATGTTGTCCTTTCAGTATGTTGCCTTTTGGTCTGGTTTCCATTCAGTGCCTCAAATGCCCGCATTGCAGCGTGCAAGTTCATTCACGGTGAGTCCCAGTGCTCAGCATCGTAGGTAACCAAACATAGTCATTTTGCGTTGTTTGTTCTTCTCCGACTATTTGTGTTTATCCTTTGCCTTTTTCATTTTCCGTTTGGCTCTTTCTTTCTGCATGGGGGCTTCTCATAACATCAACATAGGTCTACATGGTTGGTCTCCTTTTCCCTTTGAATACCACACAAAGGGGCCGAATCCGTTTGAGAAACTCCCGTAGCCATGTATGTGTATATATATATATACGTATGTATGTATACAGTAGGTAGCTGGGTGTGTCTTAAAATAGGAGAACCCTCAAAATGCTCGGTCCATGGCGGCTCCTGTTGAAACCAAACAAATGGATTTGTAGGGTCCCCGTATTCTGACACTTACAATGTAGGTTTCCCTTTGGATTCCCGGCTTCCCTTTCAACCCCAAAAAGGGTACCCAAAGATGAGCCACCAATATGAATTTCAAACCCCGAATTCGGTCCACAAAATAGAGTTGGGGCGCCAGTCCACACCCCTTCACAGCCCCCCACAAACCACCCCCCCTCATCCCCAGTTCCCCCCCCCACCATCCCCGACCCCACCCCACCCCAACTCCACCCAACCCCACCCCACTATCCGATTTCACTTGCAGAACCACCCCCACCCCGCCCCCCCCGGCCTTTTGAGAGCGCAGCTCCTCGGCCGCCGCCGCCAGCGCGCGCCCGTCCGCGCGCACCGCGCGGCGCACGAAGGCCTCCGAGGCCCTCAACGCCCCGGCGGCCCCGAAGAGCGCCAGGCCGTTGACGCGGACCTTGCGGCGTCTCACACCAGCGACCGTGTCAAGGCTCCCTTGGTTCTAAGGAGGCCCGAGAAAAAAAACCCAAAAGCAGGTACTTGGACTTGGACATTCCCCCTTACTTGTAAGCAAAGCGAGCATGGAGTTTGGGTTCAACTCAAATGGCAACCCTGCGCTGGCAACCCTGCGCTGCCTGGAATCATTCGTAGGTGCTACGTTTCCTAGACGCTCTTTTGGTTATAAGGGTCTCCCTTTTTACCCCCCAAAAGCCATCCACAACAGGTACTTGGAACTGGTAATTGTTTTTGGACAGGTACGAAGCACAGTGGATTTTGGGTGCAGGGGGGGAACTCTTTTTTGATGATACTGAAGGAGCCTACCACCTACGAATGATTCCAGGCAGCGCAGGATTGCCATTTGAGTCTTCTGGTACGCCGGGCTGAGCATGTCATGAGGACAACCCAAACTCCATGCGCCAGGTTAGTTTCCTTTCGTTTTAGGCAACAACCTTTGGACATATAAACTTGAAGCATTGGAAGTGGTACACGGTGCATAAGCATGTGGTATACTAATTTTGCACCATGCAGGCAAGGTTTGGGGACTCCTGCTGTGCACAACTATTCCTTATATACGTTGTGCCACAGCCAGGCACTGTGGGCCAGTGCCAGCATCAAGCAGTAGCTGTAGTCTGTTTGGCCCATGCGTATCATTGGCTTGCAGCAAACCAAAGAAATGCACGAGCAAACACACACTATAAACTGTTCTTACATGCGTCGTGCTACATGGGTAGTTGCACCACATGCCACATGGTTCGCTTCAGCATATGTTGAAGCATGCACAAACCTCATGTTTGTGCATACATGATGGTATGTTGTAGGAATTGCGCCAACACAAAGCTGTAGTGAACAAATGCCGCATACACACACATTGTGCCACAGACAAGCACTGTGGGCCAGCGCCAGCATCAAGCTGTAGCTGTAGTCTGTTTGGCCCAACCATATCACACTATAGCTGTTCTTACATGTGTCATGCTACATGGGTATGTGCACCACATGCCACATGGCTAGCTCGTTTGTTGAAGCATGAACAAACCTTTGTCCTCATGTTTGTGCGTACACGATGGCAATGTTGTAGGAATTGTGCCAACACAAAGCTGCAGTGAACAAATGCCCCATATACACACACCTTATGCCACAGCCAAGCACTGTGGGCCAGTGCCAGTATCAAGCAGTAGCTGTAGCGTGTTCTCCTATGCATTTCATTGGCTTTCGTCAAGCCAGAGGCATGCATGAACACACATGCTACATCTGTTCTTGCGTGCTTCATTCTGCGTGTGAATTTACACCATGTGGAACATGGCTGGCCTCAGCATGGGCTGAGGCATGCGTTCCACCAACTTTCATCCTCATGTTTGGACAATCACACGGGCAAGGTTTCAGCCACAAAGATTCCACATACATACACTGTGCCAAAGAGCTGGGCACTGTGGGCCAGCGCCAGCGCAATGGCAGCCCAGCCCACACATGCGGCCTGCCTGGCAAGTTACATGTGCGCGCAGATGCAGCTTGCCCTTGTTGTGTTGACTTGCAGGGCAGCTTGTTTTTCATAAACACTGCTGCAATGGAGCCACTTAGGCCCACAGAGCAAAAGCCGCAAGCATGCGATGCAACATCAGCAGGCTCTGCAAGCTCTCTTGCAGCCTGCGCACCAGTGCAGCTGCAGAGGCTCTGCCTCAGCTGATCAGCGAGGGCCAGATTGCGCAGGCATTGACAGGCGCAAACGTGATTCACACTGCGCGCCGCAAAGCAACAGACAAGACGCGAGGCTGGCCTACGAAATCGCTGCGACTGACAAGCTCAGTGCACTTGCGCGTGGGTGGAGAGCAACACGTGGTGCGAAAAAGTAAGGGAAGAAAAGCGTTCCTAGCTGACCTTGCTCCAACAACACTGGACCAATGTTTTGGAGTAGTACCAACCATCCCCCACGCGCAGGGAGCTGAGTCTGCTCTGGTGTGTTCTTGCACCCTCGCATGTAGTTGGGAAGTTGTTGGGAGAGGAGAGCTGTTGAGAAATTGCTGGGAACACTGTTGATGCAAAATGTTGAGAAAAGGCCGTTTCCTCACAAGTGGTTGATGCTCCTCCCGCACCCACAGGCCAGCCAGCCAGCCACCGCCACAGCACTGCTAGTCCCTGCCTGAGTTCTGTCAGTTGCCTTCAGCACTGTGGTCATTGCATCATTTGTTGTGTTCTTACATGTAACACTGTCGCCTAGTTGTGTATGTTTTCTAGCACGTGGCTGCGCAGCTTTTTGCAAAGTTTAATGGTATTTGTTGGCAGGTTCCAACATTTCTCACGTTTTGCACTTCTCATATTTCACGCGGTGTTCTCACATTCTCCATGGCCTTTCTAACAGTTCTTGCAAATTGAAATTTAAAACTAGCTTCAATCACTGCCTCATATAGCAAGTGTGTTCTCATTGCACATGGTGTGCTTGTTGCATATCCCGGCGCACTGGTCATAGTTCCAACAGCTCTCACACTTCTCATGGCTTGCCACAGGTCACACACTTCTTGCAGTATATGTAAATATGCTGCTCATTTTCGGACATTGTATCACTCTGCTTTGCATGCTCAATCAATGTTTTCATGCACGCTTGACATAGTTCAGTGGGGTGGTACTTTTGCAGCTCACCAGTGAATGCATATGTGCTTCACACACACACACTTGAAAATGCTGGCAGCGTTGGCAGCATGTTCAGTCAGGCCTATTTGTGCAAAACGCCACACCCTCACGCAAACAAGTGATGTGCATGGCATGCTCAGGCAGCATGCCAATTTCTTTGCATTCTTTCATGCAAATTGTGGCTGAAGAATGAATGGACATTGACACACTGCGCTTACAACCTGGACAAGCTGCAGCTGAGCCAAAACGCGACGCCAGCCAGGCAAGTTTGAGCAGCGCAAGATCTGCATCATGTGCTTGCTGGCAAATGCGCAAACCCTGCTTGCCATATTTGAAATGCCTGGCCAGTCACTTGCGCCCTGGCCTTGGAGCAAGTCGAACTTCAGGATGCAAACAACTTCTGCAAAATGTGGACAGTTGCAGGGGGCTCATGGCACTGTTTTGCCCAGGGCTTGTGGCTCACATATTGCAAATGAGCATGGCGGCAAACTGCGCGTGGTTCTGCCCACCCCCCTCTCAACAGGATCAGAGTGTTCTCGGATCAGTGTTTGGAGGGAGCACAGCAGTGAAAACAAGAAGAAAGAGAAGAATGAGAAGAAGAAGAACAAGCAGAAGAAGAAGAAGAAGCGGGGCAACCAGTGCCACAAGACGTAGAACAAGGCACTTTTGCCAAATCGCACGTTAAATTAGTTACCCTGTCACCATTTGTGAGCCTTGTGGCAACCCCAAAACACCCCATGCCAGGGCAGCAGTCGTGGATGAGTTGACCTCAGAGATGCACATGTCTGAAGCCAACGAAAACCCAGAGCTGCCTGTACGGGCTTTGCTTCTATTTGCAAGTCGTGCCATGCTTTGGCAACAAGGGTTTGCGCTTCAAGCTTGCTGCTCATGCGCAAGCCATCTCAACCAGCTCAAGCAAAAGAACCGCCCGGAGAGGGTAAGCAGCATGAAGAATAACCCACAGCGAGCTGAGCCGCCGGCGCGTGTAAGGAAGCCTGATACTGAGCAGCAGCCGTCCGGTTCTATTTAGCTTGGCATGAAGAGGAGTTGGGTCCCCAAACATACAACTCTCATGGAGAACATATTCATGTCACATTACCCTATCCTGCCTGTGGCTGCTAGCGTTCAGAAGGCAAACATAACCACAGGCGCCTCTTGGTGGACTTCCATGTTTCCTCTCAATCTGAACTCAACGTATAAACTCCCAAGGCCGCCCTTGACGGTCAGCGCTCAGAGATGGCGGATCTGCTGACCTACAGTGTGTTCTCAGCAATTGCGCTGAACTTGCGAACTGGACATGCCCAGCTTCAAACTTTGCGAAAGGTCAGAAGCAGGCGCGTTCCTTTTCGTGTCTTGCACTGCCAGCGCACGTTCAAAGGCCAGGAGGTGCTGCAGCAGCCTGGCTGGGATGTGCGTGCGATGGAGGCAAGCCTCCGAGAACAACCCACCTCCAAGTTCCAACATTTGCTTCGGAACTCCATCGAAGAAATGAGGTACGCCTCCATCAGCACACCTGCAACGGAAACATCCAGCAGGCAAGTTCCCTTTCATGCCAGGCCTCCCTCGTAGCGCCCGATCAGCGCGTCATTGGGAGACACCTTGGCAATAGCCAAATTATGAAGTGAATCCTCCAGTCGCATGGACCCCGATGCGACGCAAAGCAAAGCGACTGTGCTTCCTGTTGGCTGTGGAAAGAAGCCGAAAGCCCTGCTTGCCGTATGTCCAGCCCCTTGTTTGCAACCCTGCCTGTAAAGCTCCCTGCTGGCGTTGCACATGTACATGTGTTGCATATAGCTCATTGGCTCAAGTACCAAAGGCAGTAAAGTGAAAATGTGAAGGCAAGAAATTGATATGCTATCATTTCACCCAAATCCTCTTTGCCCCACAAGGAACGAGGACAAGAATTAAAGAGAGCGCACCATCATGCACTGCCGTTCTTTAACACGGCTAGCTGCATACGCAACTCTTTGTTTGAAATTCAAAAGTGGCAAAGTCAAAAAAACATGGAAGGAAGCAAAGTGAAAACATGCAATAAACAAATTGACGCGATATCAACGCCTATCAAGTATCCAAAGGCCAACAAGTAAAGAGGGCGAGAAAAGAGAAACCCACATGTTGATTTCATGATTTTAGAGTACTGGAATGGGTAAGTAGAATAAATACAATTTGTGAATTGGAAAGGGTGGGAGCTCTTGGCAGTTCGTGCATTTATTTTACAATGTTCAAACCATTACCATATTTACTGCGGCAGAACGAATGCTTTAGCTAATGCAATTACAATGCTTACTCCCTTTGTAGTCTTCCCCTTTTGTCAAACAACAACACCCTGCATTT